CAATCGAATAACGCGGGTAGAGTTATTACAAATGCTGGACAGCAGACTCAACAGGCTTCTTTGTAAGCTAAGGATACTCAATAAACAAGCGACACAGAATTGTCTTGGATTTACTGGCCTGACGGTGTAAAAAGAAAGCGAGGGGGGGAATATCAAATTGATCAGGACTCCTTTAAACAGAATTTCATTAGATCATTAGACAAAACTTCTGGTAACAGATAACGAAAAGTTTGACAACAACTCTACGGTTTGGATTACTCTCGAAATCATCTTCTAGCGTTGTCCCTTTGTGTCAATTGTTAATAGTAGTCGAGCTGATAACCCGCCTCTGGACTCAAAACAGCCCGGTCTTCGGCGCATTGTCACCCTAATTATCCAAGTACCGAGAGTATCGTGTTCTGTAAAGTTGTTTTCGATGATAAACTCTCTGTTGTCCTGTTCAAAATTTTGCTTCAACAAGATGACACAAGCTTAAAAGGTAAAATTAGGTTGGATGTCATATATGACAATATCTTATGGCATGCTTTTGACCAATCAGGCATCCTCATCCGAACCTCGCTCTCCACAACAACTCAAGAGCCAGCCCACACCACCACACTTGAACTTGTCATCTCTCACCATCTTCAGCGCTACGATCGAGCAATCCGACATGGCAGCAACAGCAATTCGATTTGTATCAGGTACCAAGAAGTCCCCCTTGGGTACCCTATATCTACAATGTCATGTAAAACCTGGCGCTTCCCGAGTTCGTGAGGGGGTCGCTGCCGTCACAGATACGACCGTCGAGCTATGCGTTTCAGCGCAGGCGAAGGAAGGCGAAGCTAATAAAGCTGTCGTAAAATTGCTCAGTGGGGTATGTATACTTGTCTAGTTCATTTTCCGCTCTGAAGCATCTCCGAATTGAGCGGCAGGAGCCCATGATTTGCGGTTTTCCCTAGTTACTAGTTGCTAACTCGAGTTCAGGTTTTGGGCATCCCCAAATCAGACCTCACAATTACCCAAGGGCTCAAGTCAAGAGACAAAACTGTCGCAGTGGGCAACATTCAAGATGGAGAATCGAGTATGGCTAAAATCAGGGAGCAGCTTGAGAAGGCCGTGGAAGATGATTGATGAGGATACATAAAATGGCGTGAAAATAATTGTGACAGCGGGCCGTTTGTCCAACAGCGAGAAGCATCAAATAAGTCTGTGGAATATGCTTCAGTGTGGCTAGAAGAACGAGTTATAGAGCTTCTGGTCCAATGTTGCTCAATGAAATACAGGACAAGGTCCATTGTTTAGCCAGCTGCTGCACCATGCCCTCTTCCCATTTATACATATTCCAGCATAACTTATGACCGATCAACGTTGTAAGTCTCTGTCACGAGTATGCCTCCAAGTCTGGGTTCTTGTTCGCCATGTCTCTCATAGTCACGTCCCTCCGTCTGCCTGATTTGGCTTTTCCGGAACTCCTCTCCCAAAATCTCTTCATCCGAAGTGTTATCCATCGGTATGTCTCCTCTGCTGACTTGCGTGCGCGTGGAAGATCCTTTGATACCAAGCGCAGCATCCTTAAAGCTTAGATCATCAGTGTCCGACTTGTTGGTGGTGTCTGTCTTGCTCTGAGGCAGAGGGCGACCGCCTCCGCCAACCATTCCGCCGCCAATCGTGCGGAGAGGGACCGAAGAGGACCGTTCTTCGTTTTGTTTTTGGTATCCCGAGCTAGCATTCTCGGACGTGAATCGATAAAAGAGACGCTTGTAGAGCGGACGGCATACGGGGATGCCGACACAGATCTGCGACGGTCAGTTTCTGTAAGGTGATAGGAGTCTCGGTGGTTGCATTGTAGGAATTACCATTGTAATAGCCATCTCAGCAGCTGACCAAACAATCAAACCCACACTGTCTCCTGTTGAGGATGGGTTAGCATTCATTGCAATTGTGGAGGTTAGGTGTTTGAGGTAGATGTACTCAAGTAGTTCTCCGTATAGAGGCCCTCTACTTCGACGGTACGCTTGATACCTGCTGCCGCGGCACTATTCGATTGGAAGGTTAGCCATATGCAGTCCTGAGTGGTGCAGAGAGGAGAGGCTGGTCAACGCACAAAAGTCCGAAGCTCATACTCGCCGCGATAGTGATCTTGTCGCGTTTTGGCATCTGTAGCTTCCAGATGAACACCCAAGGAAATATGGCGAAGAACGTGTCAACAAGAATTGTAGACACTGAAGGTGCGGTCAGCCTGTGTTGACTCTTCATATTGTCTCGGCAGAGATGTAGCTCACCACATAGAATGTACGAAGTCGGCCTCATATCAATGGGGCAGTATCCTCCCTCGATTCTGCGATCGTACACGTAGTCAAAGGGCACGCATGACAGCCAAAAACAAAGGACCTGTGCTATTGGATTCAAATGTTAGCGGGATTGGAGAACTGGGCAGTGGGAAATCTTTGTTCGAGGGACATCCAAAGCTGAGACTATTGGCACAGACATGAGCAGTAAAGCCATTAGTTTCACTTACCAATAGAGGCGAGTCCCACAAGGACCATTGCTGTCCAGATAGCTACCTTGTGCCATCCGAGTGTAACTATTCGTAGCAGGAAAAAGCCCATGGACCACTTCGCAATGGCCATCCCCACAATGGCGAATCCTTGGCCAATGCATTCAAACAGAGTGGCACGAACTACTTCCTCTATGTTCCCGATCTCGTCCGGTGTTTGTCCGAAACCATGGTTGGCTGCTAAATGCGTGAAAATGTTGAAGATAACAAGAAAAACCTGATGCGTCAAATGTCAGTCTTGGGCTGAATAAAGCCTATGGCGAGCCATGCGCGAAGAGAATGTGAACTTGCAAACGCGGCGATGTAGATTTGGTCATCGAGTCCATATGATGAGAGGCACACTACGCGCGTATAAACACGTAGAAGAAGAAATAGAAAAACGAGTCCCGTCATAGACCACATGACAGGCAGAGCCCACAAGGCCTCACCGTCCATCGCCATGGTTTAGATTAGCGACGAAGTCAGAACGATTGCCTAAGTCTCTAGAAACAGAGTGAACTCTGTCGGGGAAGCCGAGTTGTGAATGGCCTCGACCTTGGTGATGGGGTTGATAGCTTGCAGAGTATGTTCAGTACGGAGAGGGCACAACTTTCATCAGCTGGAAACCTTTGGCAATAAGTTCGGTCCATAGCTCGGGGAGATGCTCCAGATAGATGTCTACAAAGATCTGCAGGGGATTAGCCGACGGTGATCACTTCACAGTCCAACAGTTGGTCAATTCAACTCCACATAGCTGATTTGAGAGATACAGCATATCCAAATATTCTCTCTCACAGTACTTTAGGGGCACTAGGGTACACGCAATGTCCCCGAGGTTTAATGGCTGGTAAGTATCAACCAACACTGCCAGCCATGTGTTCCAACACAAGACCGGAGACGCTTGTTCGACTCTGCTGGTGTCCAGGACTTGTGACCCTGCCGCATGTTCCTACAACCGGTCTCTGGCAAACACACAAGGGTGTTGATTTTCTGTCACCAGGGGCCTTGTTCGCCAAGGTAGAAGGAGGTCCTTGGTGCATTTCCGTCATCCCAAGGGCCCAGATGTCGTTTTCCTTCTGCGATGAAATTTTCGCGGTGGATCTGGGGAATCTAATTGTACAGATACATCTTGAGGGTTTCAGATGAGGAAAACACAGCTTTGCTCCATAAGTGTTTCTGTAAGACATCACACAGTGCTGGTCTAGATCATCAATAAAAAAACGGAGTTAGCGACGTCTAAACACCAGACGTCCTTCAGTCTATGTCGCCATTAGTAGCATGAGACATTCAAGCGAAGCCGCGTAGACTCTCGTGTTGGTTGTTCCCTGTGAAATCATCCTAGTCTTAGACGAGCTCGGCGGAGGGGCAATATCTCTCGTTTACAATCAAATCCACTGGGTTGGTTGGTATTTTGTCCCCTGGCTCTGCTCGTGAACCAACACGTTCTCCAGCAAACTGCGTTTAGGCTCCACAATCTAGATCCCTACTAAAAAAGCAACCGAGCTTCTCAAGCGAACCGGAGCCGACCAATTTCCATCCCGGTATAAAAAGATACCCACTGGAGAACCAGGTCCCCGGTTGGCCAAGTCCAAAAGATCCGCCAAGTTTGCTCAAAAGTCGCGGAATCAGCCTCCCGTTCACCCGTCGCCACGCCCGTTAGAACTCACACGTCAGTTGTAATGTTATGTTCTGAATTCTGGAGTCTAGATTGAGTATAGATCCTCGAGAAGGCCCTGGCCGTTGCCAAGATTTTGGCCATGGCCAATCATAGCCCTTCTATTGGTGTATTGTGCGTTCAATCGTTGCTATGCAGTTATGCATGAGTGGGATGGTCAAACGTAACACCACGCTGCTACCCGTACAGGCGACCTGTCATTGAATGTACACCGTTCACCATCCTGACTAATAGTAGTCTGATGCAAGAAGTATCAACTGGTAGGTCAGCAACACGAACGCTGAGATCATTGTTGCGGTCGATTTTGGGGAAGAAAATTAATGGGACACTTGGGTGGCTGGGTTTGAGAACGTGCCCAGCCTCGGAGACCTGAGCTCATTTCATCACATGTAAGAAGCCCAACTCTCCTCACAGGCATGGAGCAAAGGTGCTTGCCAGCAATCGTACCATTGCATCTCGACCCAACATCAGACAGCTGTACGGCGGCATGGCCCCTCCGCCAAGAGCAAGGGTCCCCGCATATCATTTCTACAAAGTTGCAGATAAGTCGGATGGGATGACACAGGGAAACATGGAGCGTTGCACTTGCAACCAACAGCTTACTGCGGATCTATCTCTACGCAGGGTAGGTATCACAAACATTCGGTGTCGCTGCCTCCCTCGTCGTTTCTGCCGACCCGCTTATAGAACCCGAGGGCACATTGATTCTCAATGCCCTGACTGTCATTTGTTCCTCTCTTTCTTCAATCATACCACATACCGGGCCCTCTCGACTCTTGTTCGTGCTTACAACAGCTCTCACTAATTGCTATGGATTCTCTGCCTTCGTCTACTAACGGGACATCGTCCTCGTGGGAGTCCGTCTTGACGAATGCTCAATCCCATAAGGCGAGCATCGTGTTGCTCACTCCTACCATCGGCATCGTTCTCTGGTTCTTCGCCTCCTGGCAGATTTCTTCACTGAAAAGATATCCTGGTCCTTTTCTAGCAGGTCAGTCCAGTCATAAAGTTTCTTACCCACAGACTTCTGTCAATCCTCAGAACAGAAGAGACTATCTGTGCTGCGAATGATACTTACCTTGCCCTAGGATGGACCAACCTATGGCGACTTTGGCAAGTCATCTCAGCCGACTATGCCCCTCGAATGAAGAAGCTCCATGAGAAGTACGGACCCGTAGTACGACTGGGCCCGAATCTTCTAGACATTGACATACCAGAGTTGGTCAAGGTCATCTATAGCACCGACGGAAAATGGACAAAGGTGGGTTCACCAAACGACTTCCAGAACCCTCAAAACTAACCAATCGTTTCCAGTCAAACTTTTACCAGAACAGCAGCTCAATAATCAATGGCAAGATCACATATCACATGTTCAGCGAAGTCGACAATGTCGAGCACGCCAGATTGAAGAGGCCGGTGGTCCGACACTACTCCGTCCCCAGCGTGCTGGCAATGGAGCCACACATGGATCAGGTCATTGACGAGTTTTGCGATCATCTCCAAAGCCGATTCGTCGACACTGGCAAGAAATGCGACTTTGGTGACTGGTTAGCATACTGTAAGTACAACTGCCATGGCACCTTTCTTGGACCTACTACCTAGTCAAGTGCCCTTTCTCTGACCTTTGGATTGCAGACGCATGGGACTTCCTTGGCTACGTCACATTCAGCAAGAAGTTTGGCTACATGGACGCAGGCCGCGACTTTGACGGCACTTTAGCCATCGGGGACCAGTCGATCGATTACCTGGGTCTCTGCGGTCAGATGCCGTGGATGGACTACTGGCTCGACAAGAACCCGGTCTATCCTCTCGGCCCACCAAATATCTCCAACGTAACCAGAATCGCCGTTGAGAACATGACTGAGCGCCTCAAAGGCGAAGATACAAACTTTACGCCCGAGAAGCCGGACTTCCTGCAGTATTTCATCGATTCCAAGGGAACGCATCCTGAGATCGTCAATGAGGGTACAATCATTGGGTATCTCCTGTTGAACTGTGAGTTCTACACTTATACCGTCTGTCAAGATCGTGCTTGGTGGGAGCACGGCTAACAAAAGATCGTAGTAATCGCCGGAGCCGACACAACCGCCATCACGATGCGTGCCCTCTTCTACTATTGCCTCAAGAACCCCCGCATCTGGAAGCGCCTCGAAGCCGAAGTCATAGCCAACATCCCCAGCGACAAGCCGGCATCCCACTCCGCCGCCCGCGCCCTCCCCTACCTCGAAGCAGTCTGCCGCGAAACGACCCGCTATCACCCAGCCGTGTCCATGACGATGGAGCGCATCGTCCCCGAGGGCGGCCTCGCGCTCCCCGACGGCTCCGTCGTGCCCGGCGGGTCCCTCGTCGGCATGAACCCGTACATTGTGGGCCGCAACAAGAGTGTCTACGGGGAGGACGCCGACGAGTTTCGGCCCGAGCGCTGGCTGCGGCAGGAGGCTGAGGGCGAGGACGCCTATAAGCTCCGGATGAGGCAGTGGAACGCGGCGGATATCACGTTTGGCGGGGGGTCACGTATTTGTCTTGGAAGGAACTTGAGTCAGATGGAGGTGTACAAGGTTGTGCCGTCGCTGATTTCGAGATTCGAGATTGAACTCGTGGATCCGAATGAGAAATGGTGGACGAGCTCGCGGTGGTTTTACAGGACGAAGGGAGTTGTCTGTCACTTGAAGCGCAGAACCGCAAAGGCATGAGGCGGTATTGCAGTGGAGGCAGTAACGTACTGGAGGCTGTCAAATGAACGTGGGCGAATATCACACCCATCTTTCGCACAGGAGAGAGGGTTGAAACATTGGTCAGTGTACGTTGAAGGTTGATTACTATTACTATGCTATAACACACACGCAAACTCCACTCATGCGGTGGGCGCGAATGTTCCGTTGGCGCACTCGAAGCCGAGGTTGGGGTTCAGCGTCGGCATCGCGTTCATGCAGATGAGCTTGGGGGCGCCACAGCTCTGGGGGTGGATCTTGATGTCTCTAGTCTGGAAGTTCTTGCAAGACGTCTGGGTGTTGCACTCGATGATGACGGCCTCGGTGTGGGTGAGGTTGGGGAGTCCAGCGTTGTACCAGCAAGGCTATGTCCCATTATCAGCATTCATTCACTCCTCAAAATTGTGTGTCAAAGACTTACGTTTGTGGTGCAGGATCCGTCACCGGGGTTGTTGGTGTTGATGCTGCCAGAGAAGTGCTCCCAGGTGAAGTCCTCCATCATGACGGACGAGTTGTTGGGCCTGTCGCCGCCGGCACTGGCCTGGTTGAAGTAGGTCTGGGTGACAAAGATGGGGAAGGTAACGTTGTCGAGGCGGATGTTGCTCCAGGTAATGTTCTTCGCCAACCCTTGCCCACCAATCCAGCTCTTGAAGCGCGCGGCATACAACCCGCCGTGGACATCCACGTCCTCGAAGCGGATGTTCTTCACATCAGCCACAGAGGCGACCTTGGAGCCCAGCGAGCCGACGCTCATACCGTGGGTCTCGAAGCCAATGGTGGCGTGCTTGAAGAGGACGTTGTTGGCGCCGTCGTTGATGGCGATGGCGTCGTCGCCGTTGAAGATGTTGCTGTTGGTGATGGTTACGTCCGTGGCGCCGACGTCGAAGCCGTCCGTGTTGAAGGGGAAGCTGCTGGTCTCGGAGCGGGCGTCGATGACGGTGTCGGAGATTGTGATGTTCTTGCCCTTGATGGAGAAGTTCCAGCCGATGGGCTTGAGGGACTTCATGTTCTTCATGACGCCGTTGGTGATGCTGAACTGCATGAGATGAGGCCGATTGGGCGTGCCGGCCTCGCCGGGCTTGTTGGCGTCCCACCAGGCTTGTCCATGGGACTTGATCCATCCGGCGTGAGGCTGTAGAAGGGTATTGTGAGTATTAATGAGCTTTTGTCAGGGTATCACAATCAGAAAACATACATCAGTCGAGGCGATCCATTGGACGTTGGTGCCGCCGATTTGGAACCAGGTGAGCGTGCCGCCCTTGGCAGAAACAAGAGCCTGAACGGTGGGGATGTCCTCGGGCAGAGTAATGTTGCCGTTGACGGTGATGACGACGTTGGAAAGCTTGGTGGCGACAATGGGCTCGTAGGCCTTGTACTCGACGCCCTCACGGAAGATGATCTCGGCATCGCTAGCGCACTTGGTGAACGCCTCGGCGATGGCAGCCGCGTCCGATGTCGCATTGCTGGAGGGCGAAATAACGCATTTCGTCGTCTGCGCGAGCGCGGGGGCCGCGAGAGAGAGTGCCACTGGCAGCAGGTTGCGGTACAGCATGTCGGCGGCGAGGAATGTAGAGACCGTGGGTTGACGTTGAGAGAGAGGGTGAGCAGCTCAATAGCGACTCAAGCTATCACGGCGGCCAAGCCGGGTTGTTATAAAACATCTCAAAGCTTCGCCCCCGAGTCGTGGGACCCTCTCATAATGAGGGGTCCACAATGAAGAGGAAGGGTGACATCGGTCTCCCGGGTCAGAGCATATCGAAAAATGTACACCCGCAGATTTTCCTGGGAATTTTTTTGAGTTGGGTTGGGATTTCCGGGATGGTGGTGGTTTTTTGCGGAGATGAGACTAGTATCAGGTAAGGAGAGGCCGAATCTTAACGGCTTACTGACGTTGGTCCCTGTGGGCAGAAGCAGCCTCAATTGCGGAGGGGAGAGGGGAGTGTAGGAGTCAGGGGGTCCCAAAAAGGGGATAGGCAAACGAACGCGAGTTCAGACGATCCACCGTTGAGGGTGATTGGATGGAAAATTATTCCCCGTTTCCTCGAGTGACCTTGCAAGTTGCGCTATGGAATTGAGTCCTTGCAAGCTGCAGAAAGAGATCATCCGCACGTGTTGGAACTTGGTCCTGTTGGTATTAGTTATCCCCGCGCGTGGACTTGCGCTTGATTAGGACCAGGGCCGGATGTGCGGCACACTACCCTGCGGCTCTTTTCCTCATATTCTGTGAGTTGAAGACTTGGCGGAGGATCGGGAACAGAGGCGTCATCAGTTGTGAAAAGACATTAAGATGATCGCTGGCAGAATTTGTAGCTGGTCTTATAAATAATATTGCTGGTCAATCTGCGTGGTGCGACAAGTCATATCAAAGACACAGCCCTACACACCTTGTCAATCTAAGACAGGGTGAATTAATCAAACCTTGTGCCATCTCAATGAGCAATTTCCGGCTAGGCTTTGGGACGCAGTCTATATTCTGAATTTGAGCTTGCATGGGTGCCACGAGATCTCAGATGAGCAGCACTGCAGTTGAATCTGTCAGCGGCCAGCGAGTAGACCGGGCTTAGTTACATGCCGTTGTCACTTTATCGGTCTGATATTTGGAAACTCAATGATACAGACCGCAAATGGTCGTTCACCAAGACTCGGTTTTGGGGTTCCTAACCTTCTCGTTAAACTCTTTAGGACCAAAGATAAAAATCTCCGGTTGAACAGACTGTATACGTGTGTTTCATCCAACAGACTTGTCGTCGTGGGCATCGAAGAAGCCAAGCCGGAACCCCGTCTAGATCGACAGATTGAGAAGGCCGGGCCCGGCTCGGCAGTCTCGGCGCCCCGCTCTTTCCCGAATGGTCGAAGCAGCCCCGGTGCTCCTTTGGCATCCGATATCGAGAACAGCGTCTTCGTTTCCTATCAACATAGCTTGATACATACTAGGGGCGTACAGGACAAGTCATGCTTTGAGGTTTAGGCAGTTCAATATTTTGGATTACAATCAATGAATGATTTGGTGCCGGGTATCATACATATGCCACGTCTCACTCTTCCTGCTGCTCCTCCGCCTGAACCTTCTCCCTCACTGGAGCGGCTGCTGGTCTCGGCTGAAGCCCCTTTTGCTGATCCAACTTCCTCCTCTCCCACGGCTTCAACTTGGTCTCCTCGGCCGGCCCATCCACTTCCTTGGCCCACTTGACCCAGTCGGACCGCCTCGTCTTCCACATGTCACCCTTCCACGTGCGCCAGACGCTGCGGCCCATCCACGAGTCGCGCAGGGCCCTCTCGTGCTCCGCCAGGGCACCGATGATGGTCTGCTTGACGTGGAACGGGATCGAGCGGTCCGTGCCGCGGGAGGGCACCTCGATGATGGCGAGAACGACGTTGTGGCCGAACTGCGACTGGGCGAGCTCTGCCGCGTGCGGGGCGAGCGCACCGACAAGCGCCTTGTGGAAGAACTCGTTTTGGGGGGCGGCCGGGGTGGCGAGGGCTGTCGTCAGGACGGTCATTGATGCCATTGACGTGGTTGCGAGCTTGACGAGGAGGTCTGGGGGCGTGGCGAGGAGGGATTTCTGGGCGACCTTGACGGGGTTGCCGGAGGTCTTGAGCATGGCTGTCACGAGTTGACAGCCGTGGTTGGCGACGGCAGTCTTGTTCTGCGGGCCATCCTGCTGGAACTTCTTGTCCTCGGCGGCGGGCTCTTCCTCGATGAGATGGCACAGCTTCGGCACCACGTCCCTTGGGTTGGAGCCGAGGGCGTCAGTGAGAGCCCTCGTGAGCGCGCTCTTCTCCTCGTACGCGCCACGGGCCTCGCAGCGCTCAAAGAGGGTCTTGAGCACGTTGTACCGAGCCTTGGACACCAAGAGGGGCACGGCGGGGATGATCTTCTTGACGGCCTCGACGAGATCGTCCTTGCTGGCACGGTTCAGAACGCGGAGGGCGGGATACGAGGCAATGTCGTTGCGGACGTAGGTTGCGATGCGCTCGCCGAAGAAGTTGCGAGAGAGCGCCTTGAAGATCTTGCCGGGGCAGTTTGTGAGGAGCGTTTCGAGGAGGCGAGATCCGATCTGGTCGTACACCATACTGTTGACAAAGTCTGCAGCCTGGGATGACTCGTCGCTCAGAGATTGAGGTGCGTCAGGCAACAGCCTGTACAGCAGGGTGTCCTTTGTTGATGCTGCGGATTCCTTGTCGCTCTTGTGGTTGAGGGAAATGTCGAGCTCGAGCAGGAGCTGGAGGAGAGGGTTACCCGTGGGGTGCTTGGCGAGCACGCGCAGCGCGGTAAAGTCCATGCCGGAGACAGCGTCCTGGATGATCTTCTTGGTGGCCATGGTGAAGGATTCGGGAACGGCCCTCAGTTGGTGGGTGAGTTCGTCTGCGGTCGCTGTGGCTCCCTGGACGGAAATATACTCCTTCTTCTTGCTCTTCAGCATCGACTTGGTAGCTGCGTCGTCCAGTGGTCTTCCGGACAGAACAACTAGGAGCACGCGCAGGGTATGGGACCCGAATCTGTCCGTCAGGAGGAATCCCATGTGCTGTTCGAACTCATCAAGGGTCATAAGGAAGAGGTCCTCCATGGTGTTCTCAGGCGTCGGCTCGCCGTCCTCCTCAGTATCCATCTCGTCGTCCGCCTTAGATTCCGGCACGATACCTCCCAACTCTTGTGTCACAACGAGTGCCGATTCGAGGAATAGCTTCTCGCAGCAGTGACTGGCAAATCGATGCTGTACCAGGGACAGGAAATGAGTAGCAAAAGCGTTGAAAATCTGCTTCTTCTGTCTTGTGTTCGAAAGAATAATGAGGCGCTCCATGAGTCGTGAAAGCGATTGGCTGCTGGCCAACTTCAATTCCTTGCCCCGCGCTTCCTTGTACACATTCTGCAGGAAGACGTCGCGCTCCTCGGACGAGGGAAACTGGTTCAATTCGAGCAGCTCATCGGCGCGACGGAAGTATTCCTGTTCCTCGTCGGCGAGCATTCCGAAGAATTCCACCTCGGGCCCATTGCCACGGAACGACTGCTCCTGCTCGTTGGCCGCATCGTCGAAGGCGGGCTGTTGTTCGCCATCCTGTTCCTCATCCTCGACCCGCCTGCGCTTCGACGACCGTTCCTCTTTGTTCGCCTCGTAATTCTCTTCGTTTACCTCCCTCCTCTTCTTCTTTCGCTCGTCGCGAATCGCTTGACGTTTCGTTCTCGGCTTCGGCATTGTGATCGAGTGCTGGAGGTTGCAAGGCGAAAGGTATTTTGCTGGGGAATGGGGCGAGTTCGTCGTACCGAACACTAGAGAGACGAGTACCTCAAGAAAAAAAAAACTTTTGGGCTCCTTTATCTAATCTCTTATCTTATCTGTGATCACCCCACCACCCACTCCTATGTACCTTACCGCTGTCCCTCATCCAGGCCCATCATCCATGCTCCCCTAGAAATATCTCCTCCGTCTTCCCTCTGGGATTACTTCAGTTCTTCTCATCCCTTGACCAAATTTCATGCCTCAAAGATGATTTCTACCTCTGCTCACTTACAAGATCTCTTCTCATTTCATTTTCTGTCATCCAAATTTGTCTCGGCCACAGGTGGCGCCATCAACGCCCGAACACGTCGCGCACGCAGCATCTCGTCTGTGGACCTTCTGCTGGCATTGGTTCGGCAGAGTCTATCATCTGGGACATCATTCTTCGATGTCTTTATATCTAAATCGCACCATTTTGCCACATGATTCTCTAACACTTACGCCGCAATCTCCTTGCCTACTTCTTCCAGCGCCTTGACCAAGCCATCAACAGTTCCCTGGAGGGTCTGACAGTTGACGACAACCCGGAAGAAGCTACCTCGTTCCCCAGGAGCATAGTCGATCATGAAGCCGCGCTGTATCAGCTTATGGACCATTTCGCTGGTCCGTCTCGTGTTCGCCTCGGGTTCCTCGGCAAGCTGGCCGTTTGGCGCATAGTAGAAGCAGACCTGCAAGCAAGGCGGCGGGTTCGACGAGACCAGGACAAAGTTGTCGCTCTTCTGCACCAATGTCGCGAGGTGTTCCGCCAGGGAAAACGCATGGTCAATCTGCTTCTCGAAGCCGCCGGCGCCGTAGTAGATCCAGGCCAGCGCCAGCTTCAGACTGTCGCCCCTGCGACCGCACTGGAGGGTTAGGTCTGCCAGATCCCATACGTCCTCGGTCTCGTCCACGTTGTGGAACAAGTACCCCGCGGGCAATGTGTTGGCCTTGTGGAAGACCTTCTCGTCCGGCGTGAGCAAGAACGAGCACGTCACGGGTACGTTCATCATCTTGTGCGGGTTGACGGTCAACGAGTCGGCCAGATGGGAGCCCTTAAGCTTAGCCTTTTGCTTCTCCGAGAAGATGGCGGACCCTCCCCAGCTGGCGTCGATGTGGAACCACAAGCCAAACTCGTTACAGATGCTCGAAATCTCCTCAAAGGGGTCGTAGGAGCCCATGACCGTCGTTCCGGCAGTCGAGTTGACGTACAGAGGCGTCTTGCCCTCCGCCTTGGCGCGGACGACGAGCTCGCGGAGGGCTTCGGGGATCATGCGTCCGGCGGTGTCGATGGGCACGGCCCACACGCTCGACGCGCCGAGGCCGCAGGCCAGGGCGCTCTTTTCGACAGAGTAATGGCCGTGGGCGCTGGTGAAGATGACAAAGTCGTGGGAGCCGTTGCCGGATGCCTTTGTCTCTGGGTAGAGGGCGCTCCGCGCCACCACGAGGGAGGTCAGGTTGGAGGCGCTACCGCCCTGGCAGGTGACGCCGCCGGCGCGAGGGCCGTTGAAGCCGAACAGGTTTGCAAACTTTCGCGCCGTGATCTTTTCGATGATGCTCAGTGCGGGTGAGACTTGGTAGACGTGGAGCTTGGTTTACTTAGCAAAGACAACTTGCCGCAAGAGAAGGGGGCAGGTGAACTTACATTTGTGTTCAGGACAGATAGAACGAGATCGGAGACGACGCCAACCTATGAAAAGTCAGAGCTCTATCCAAGGCCCCGCGCTTCTACTAAAAGGGTTGCGAACATACCGGAGTATTGCTTGCATACAACTTATCCATGAAGCCTTGGTCCCAGGTGTTGACGCTGTACTTAAGAATCTTTTGCATGACATCGAGCAAGCCATCCTTACCGAGCCCATCGCCCTCGGGAAGAGAGAGCTTTAGCTTTTCGACCAATGCCTCGGGCTTCTGGGTGTCGACCAAGACATTGCTGGGAACGCCTTCAATGTCGACGGATGTGTAGCCGTTCGCCTTTTGGCCGGCTGCCTCATCGGCTGCTCTGATGTACGGCACGATCAGACCCTTGACGGCATCGAGCAGCTATTGAACAGGGAGCAGGCAGGTCAGCCGGGATGTCTGGGGAGCATAGCGCACCCAACCTAGCTTATATGCTGAGAAACTTACATCCTCTACTTCCTCGGCTCTCTTGAGCGTCTGTGGGACTGCGTGGTGCCCATTTGTGCCGTTGGTACCGTTCATCGTTGTTGTGCTGAGAGATTGAAACTTCCCTTTCACCGGAAGTCCAAGAAAGTTTCGAAAATTCTTTCAAAATGCCAGAAGTTCAGGCAGTTAAGGTTTCGTCAAAAATACCGCTCAAACTGGACAGAACGGAATGGATTATCGGTATAACCAGGTCTTCGAATCGCTTTGCTCGGTCCACTCTATGTTTCTCCAACGTCGTCTCCAACCAGAATGAGTAATAACGTTTTGGAGAAATTCTTCAACAGCCGGCGTTTGTTCCCCGATGACGGCACATCGGAGCAAAGTGGCGCGAGCCCACCTTTACCCACCCGGCTGGGGAACTAGCCGCACTCGCCGAGTCTGTGCCATGTACGGCATGACAAGGATCTAGTTTTTGGAGGTTGATAGATCGAGTGGCGGGGTTAACAGCGTCTCCGCGATCACGTTTCCAAATTTAACGTAGACGAGGAGCCAATTTCTAAGGAATGTCTGTATTTGGATGTACCCCCAACATATTCAAAGTCCTCGATATTCCACTCAAAAGTCAGACGCAGCATCTAAGTTCTGCTGCACACGCATACCGCTGGGCAGATTGTCCTTGACCGCATCCTTGATCACCTCACCGCCAGTCCTCATAGCCTGAATGATGCCAGCCGCAGGCATGGGAACGCCGACCTTGTGCAAAATGTCTGTTTGCTCTGCGATTACATCAATGCGGGACTGAAGGCCGTTGGAGATTTCCTGCTGCTTCTAAAATGAGAAAGATGTCAATGTTAGTGATGTTCATTAACGCAGAAAGTCCCTCAGCCCGAAAAGACACAAGGACTCACCTGAGCAACAAGTTCATTTATAGCCTTATGAGCAGCATCTGTGAAGTTATTGAGCTCGTCGCGCTTAAGAGCGATCTCTTCAGCGGTTTTTGCGACCTTGCTTAGTTTCGTAAGAAGGTCAAGGCCCGGGTTGATGTATTTGGCGTGCACATTGGTATACATCTGGCAGGTCATCTGTAGAAGATCAAAGTATGCTTTGATCTGCAGAGTCGACATGTAGATGGTCTCGATGTCGAGATCATTAAGCTTCAGCATGCCCTTCTGAGACGCCTCCTCACCGATAGCGGTGGCGTCAGTGTCAAAGTTCTTCACCTTGGTATCAATGATGACCTTGACCATGGTAGAAAGAGCGTTAAAGAAGGTAGTCAGCTTGCTGATCTGCACCTTAAGCTCAACCAGAATGGCGATGCATTCAATCAAGATCTCTTTGACGCGCTCAAGGGCTTTTCCAGTAATCTCGATGCCCTTAAGTTTAGTCCGAATCCCAGTCAGCCTCTTCTGAACTTCCGCGGCAGCTGCTACAGCATTAGTATAGTTGGTCTGGGCAGTCTCGAGGGCCCTTTGATTAAGGGCAAGTTTCTCGGTGGTCATGCTAAGGGCGGCAGTGACGGCACTGTTGTCCTTCTTGTCCACGGAGATATTATTCAACTTTGGTGCATTCGAGGAGGATCCAGGGAACGACTTTGCTGTAGCTTCAAGCTTTGTGACGGCAAGCTTCGCCTTGGTGATGGCATCTTGCCACTTCTTAATGGAGGCCGGGTCAGTCTTGGCGGAAGTAAAACTTTGCTGATTGGCGACCTCCTTCTTGATATCCTCGACGATAGCAATACTGGAGTCAAAGACAGCGGTCAGCTCAACGCTAGGTTGACCCGTACCCAGCTTTGCAGACTTCTGTTGCATCTCGAGGTTGGTGAGGAGCCATGTCAGGCCCTCGGTACCGGCTCCGTTCCTAGACGCCTGATCCTTGAACTTTGACCAGTCGGGGGTATTGCCCTCGCCAGCAGTAAGATAAGTTAAGAGCGTGGTGATGAAGGGGGCAAGTAGAGGAGCTGCGACATAGGCAGGGTCGGTCTCAGGAGTTGCGTCGTTGAACTGGAGGGTTGCGCCCCCAGGCTGAACGCCTTGATGGCCACCGAGAAGAGCCCGGGCAATGGGCGGTGCACCCGCAGCGTTGAGCGCACCCTGGCGACCAATTTGAGTCGGCCCATTTACAAGTCCATTGACTCCAGTCATGGGATTTGCGGCACTGATGATGGCAGGCAGTGCCTGGGCAATAAGCACGGGTCCTGCCGAAGTAATAGAGGTCAGAGCACCGATAGCGCAGGTCTCCCAAGCTACGAAAAGACTTTATTAGCGATGTATGCCATTGTAATAGGTGAGATCAAGTTGAGTTACCAGATGGTACAGCGTCGTTGGCGGTTTGAAACGCCTTCTCCTGCTTCTGGAGCGACTCCTTCATCTCTTCAGAAGCCTTGTCGGCCCTCTCGAGTTCCTTGTTTGTGTAACTTGCCTCAATCTCGGCCCGTAACATAGCGCTTAGATTCGTTTGAGACTGCTTCTCAGTCTTCCCGTGTTCCTGAACAGAGGCCTGGTGGAACTCAGAAACAGCTAGAAGCCATTTATCAAAGGCCTTTTCGGTGTCCTGGGCGTAGTTGAGGCAAAAGTTGGACAGCCTTCGCAACTTTACAAGCTCGTTCGTTAAGTTGCGCTGAGTGTCTGGGAGACCCTGGATGGCCCTGATAGTGCGAGTGATGGTCTCTATGATCTCGGAAGACTGGCTAGCAATGGATGACATGTTGCTTCCCGCAACGCGAAATGCCTTGTCACCCTCGCCGGCAACAAACACCAGACACGCTCTGAGGGTTGGATCTTGGGCGACACTGGAAAGATTTAGGTTACTGTCCCCTCGGAATGCCTGGAGAACTAATGAGGGGGAACCGCAGATACTTGAATCCCCCAACTGGGACAGAGTCTTTCAGGCTAATCCCTGCGGCATCGGGTGAGGCCGCGGCAACATGGCAGGAACCAATTAATGTAATGGCAGTTGGAGCTGCAGAAAGAAGCTCATTCCAGTTGTATTGAAAAAGAATGGATTCCTTGACCTCCTGAACAAACTGGGCTCCCGCTTTGCCTCCATGAGTCTTCTTCAAGACGGCCTGTTGAGCGGCTTCAACCTTGGAGAGATTATCAACAGACATGATAATAATGATTGAAAGAGGAAATCGGATTTGTTGAGGGGTAATGGTAATTTGTGCTAAGGCAAGGTAATGGATAGTAATGGTTATTCAAAAACCTAGTTGGAGTGAATTCGATGGGGGCACCGGCTTCTTTATACGAGATAACGAGCCATTTTGTCATTTCCTGCTTTAGGAGCTCCAGCTGTACAGAACTATCATGCTCAGCTAAGCCTCTGGAAAGCTGATCAACATGGCATTACGGAAAGCTGAGACCTTCACAGCTTGCAGTGCAGTTTTCGGCTATTTCCTGTATCTTGGGTTCTGTCTGTAGACGCGCCAGGCTTTACAGACTCAACATCCTCCGCCGAATCTCACTATGGATGCGATGGTATAGGATCTGTCTTGCCACATGCACGCAGCCACTGCTCCATGCTCATGCAACTACTGTTCATTGGCTCTTTTCCCGCGTCGCTTTTGTGGTTCCTTTACCTGAATTACTTTCCAGCCAGCCAGAGAACATCGCCGGAGTGGTTTCGCCGAAAGCGTCTGTGGAAACAGTTCGTCCGCACTGCTTTTCAAGCTGATACAGTGGTCTCGATACGCTAAATACACCTTCAGCCAGCCAGAGAATATCATATGAAATGGTTTTTCTGAAAGCCTCTCTGAAAACAATTCTTGAATGCAATTTTGTCAAAGAGACTTCCAGCTAGGTAGCGCAATTGGGACAGACGGCACCTCTCTCCGGGTTCATGTGGCTGAGGCCGATGACAGCTGATAGTGAAGTTGAGCGGCTGTGAAACATGGGGGTGAGACAATGCTTGCGGCTGGGGGCAAAAACCGCCGAATGGGAAAGTTCAAGACATCATTGTAGGAGAGCATCCCTTTTCGGCGCCTTCCGTGCTCTGGATTCAATATTTTCAGCGTTGCGATGTACCAGTGGCTCGACAGACCAAAGCTGAAGGAAGGGGTCTCCATCATGCCGCAGGCTTGCCAAGAAGATATCACTATCTGGAGGAGGTGTTCGGAGAATGAACCAATCGCAAGATGTGGTATTTGGTCTGAAAGCCCTTTGCTTGAACAAATTCCCACCCCTAGAATCTTTATAGGAGACCATCACTCAGTGGGATAGCCAGGTACCATCACTTTGCACTCTTGGTGTTGAACAGATTTATGCTTCGGAGTTTTCTTTTCCTTTTCTGTCGTAATGTACAACATATATCTTGACTCGTTCCACGATTTCAATTCCAAGGCGAACGAGTTTCAGCAACGTCTTTTAGAGCAGCGTGCTGAAGATGGCACGCTTTTCAGTGAAGCTGCCGCTTTACTCGACAAGACCAATGATGCCGCCTTTGAAGGACTTGAGACCTTAGTTGTCCAGCTTCTGCAGATAGCGGATGGCGATTCGCCTGTCGGTAAAGACGCTGTACCACAGCTCCCCATCGCTATCGAGCTCTTCCACAAGTTGGCCAAATCCTGTGAAGATTCTGTTGACCGTATCGGTCAGGAATTCATAGATACAACTCAGTACGGTGGGGAAAACAAGCAACTTCAAGATAGCATCCAGAAACTCCTCGTCGACATCACTGGGGAGATCCGTAGCGCAGAAGGCGCACTTCAAAGGGCTGAAAACTCGTCAAGGAGCTGCTTTGAGCGTTTGACGACTGCTAGACGCAATTTGAAAGATGGGGAAAATAAGAAAGATGTAAGCGAGCTTCATTTATCGTAAAATCATTGCGCTATCTGCTAAACGTCATGTGTAGGACTGGTACAAAATATCTTCTTTTTTCGGAGGGGGCGGAGATATCGATAACCAAATTCGAGTGAACGAGCAAAACGTCAAAATCTGCCAGCAAAATTTGGACAATGCCGAAACGGATGAGAATGACTGCAAGAATAACCTTTCCAATCTGCAGAGCTTGGTCCCAAGGGTACAGGAGCTTACCAGACTCCTGGATGATCTCTTCTGGCAGATGAATGCCGAGTACGAGAAGATCGTCGAGGACAGAAAGATCATCGAACGAACATGGGTGGCTACTAGGACGCTTGACTACCACGTCAGCACCAACGATGTCGACACCTCTCGCGATGACATTCTACGCCATGTGATTCAGTTGATCCATATGAGAGTGGAACAAATGGATAAGGATCCGGATGTCCAGCGTTTCAAAGAGAACATCGAGAGACGGATGCGTGAAGCACTGGGCGAGGCTCTGGTGGAAGAACTCCACCAGGAGAGGAAATTCCTCTTAATGGAAGATATCGACTTTTAGTCTACTTGTGCTAGTTTCAATTCGGAATCTGTGCCTTACTTGATTCTCGCCTCCGAGACGAAAGAATGAGCGGCTGCCACCACGATAATTCAAGGGCTTCAAATGTGTAGGAGTAAGGCAGATGAGGCCAGTGCCACAAGTCAAAGTGCAGCACTAATACAGTCTAGACATCCGCGGCTCGGGCCGTCGACGCTCAGGGCGGTTTACGGGAGAATCCACGCACGAAGAACTGGCGGCAGATAGATAAGCTGAAATTTCAAACTGTCTGCTGGTGGCTGCCTGAGCTACGAACAAAACCCTGCCTGGTAGATATCACACATATGGCGGGTCGACTCCAGCGCATGAACGTCTAGTTATTCTCCAGCTTAGAAATGATCCTCAGTTTTCGATGTGCGATAATAAGGGCTATAGGGTCGGATTGTCATGTAACTCGCCAATACCCCTCATATCATTGCGTCGAGTGATACAATTGCGAGTTGTGCTTAAGACATGTTTGCAGTTAAAAAGGGAACTAGGCCGGCTGACGTGGAGGGGCCGGGTACGCGAAAGTGGCGTTGCTTCCTGAGCTAGTATCGTGCGTGCCAACGGTCAGCCAGCCACAGGACGGAGAACGCCGGCGCGTAAAGGTGCCGAGATGTTGCTTCAAGCGGGGTTGGATACATATCTCGAAGCAGTACGAATAAATTCCTGGTCAGTAATGTCAAGTCAATCAACTGAACACAGCATAGATCTCCAAGACTGTTCCGGAGATGTTTGCCCGTCAACCTTAGAGGGCTGGAAGAGCAGACCTTCGGTCGAGATGATTTGAGACAGGCTGGCCCAGTCTCAGCAAAACCCACACCCAGGCCGCCCCATGGGCTTTGTTGATTGATACACTGGCTAAAGAGGCCGAGCTCCCGCACGTAAATACTTTTATTGGCGGCCCGGTAGAGTGTGCGCAGTCAGGTGGTAGAAAAGGGGCAAGTGGTGTAAACGGGTTCGCTGTGGCTGGCTGATTGGAAATAAGAACCAGATATTTCTATCTCATCAGCTGATCGACTTCACGAACCCATGACTGTATGTCTCCTTCTTTGGGATAATGCTATGTAGAACTGTCACTGGACCAGTCACTTCATCAACCATCACACTCTCAATCCCAGGCCAACTTGCTCAGCCGTGGTCCAGAAGTGTTACCAGTTGAGCTACGCCGTATCTTCAGGTCGGGCAGACTCAGACGCCTTTCCCCGTTTAGACCCTGCAGAGACGACATGAGACGAAGTACCGACGTTTGCACACAAACGCCACCAAATGATTCAAGGGTTGCAAAGTACGTAGTCTATACTGGAAGTACAATTAATTAGCAACACAATTCCAAACCCGGACACGAAATCCAGCATTATAAGTGAAGTAGCTCACCCTTTCCTATTGTACAGCCAAAAAGTGCCACAACGCCTTTTCATTTACCTCTCTCGGATATAGAACTCAGTACGCAGACCACGATTTCGGTCCAAATATTATGTCTGGCTGACAACTTCCAATAAATCAGATTCTCTCACCAAGAGGCCGCCTCAGACCTTTGTGCCTTCCGCCCCTTTCGGGTTGTACCAGCCCTGTCGAGATAACAAACTCCACCTCAAACGATCTCGTAAGTGTTTTAATGCATTGATATCCTAGTGTGTTTATTCAATGAGAGCTAAGCGGCCATAGGAAAGATGCAATCGAATGCAAGCTTCGATATTGCAGACAAATATGCGAGCATAGTTCCTGGCTCTACCGTCCTTGAGCTCCTCACCGACTTCAAGCAAGAGGAATTTCTCAAGAAATATCTGAATCCCAAGTCTCTGCCGAATAAGTTGAGCAAACCTTTGCTTGAGGATCACCATGCAGAAGGGGCAGCTGAAGGAGTCTGCTCGGCTGCGGTGATGCACTGGCTTGATACCGGCGCCGTCCCTCCTCCCACCGAGGAAATGGCTGCAGGGCTAGCCCGAGTCCAAGGCTCCTTCGAGGCTGACACTGAGCGGGATTACTGGAAATTGTGCAGCAACCTATCAAAATCTTCCAAGAACCTCAAGGAACCTGTCAAAGACAGCAAGGGCTTAGATCTCAACATCACGCAAACTTTCTTCAATTATTTGCTTGACAACTCGGGCAAAATCAACCCAAAGTTCAAGCTTTTCCTCATCCTTGGCTTCGTGGATGGCTCTGCCCATGCAGTTGGCTGGAATCTGGGAACCAAAAGCTTCTTTGATCCCAATTATGGTGTTTGGAGGATCAAGACTCCTGATCCCAAGAGTGGCATTTGGAAGATGATACCTTTTGCCAATGGCCCTGATGCTGCCACAGACATCGCATACTCAATTTCTGGTTTGGATGAGATTCGCAGTAAATACGGGGCCAAAGTCTCTATCAAAGCCATCACTTTCTAATGTGTTCGAAAACGAACTGTCCTGTAGAATACTCAACCCTAGATTTGGTATTGTTCATGGCGATTTCTGACAGAAAGTAAGCGATGATCTTAGGGTAGCGTTATGCTGTAGTCCGTGAATTCATGCTACCTTTCTTCGCGGTATTTCATTGGTTTGCCCAAAAGTCAATGATACCTGTTCCGACAGTTGCTGATAATCGATGTTGCTGACAAGCAAGGTGTTGAGTTCGAGGAGGTCAGAGCTATGGAGGGTCCAGAAGTAACTGGCATCTAATTAGGAACCAAAGCAACTTGATAGAGTGAGTTGAGAACAAAATTCGCACGGCCATCATTTAGTGAGCTGCAGTGGACCGCGGTACATGCAATACCCTTGTAACCTAACAGTACCTATATCAGCATCTTCTTTCGGCGAATCCAGTTGATTGGGTTCATTCAGTATGGCTGAATTGTCGTCTTGAATTTTCAGATCCGTTATTCTGTCACTCGCATCTGAGTTCTCCAAGAGGACAATCAAACAGCAGATCAAGCCTGGTCAACGTACCTAATCTGGACTCCCGAGGGCCGCTTGCAAGCAGAGGACCCTCGATCGGATGGGATGCGGCACAGTCAGATCTCTCCCACCAACCCGGATTTGTCCTACTGAACCGCCGTATCAAGCACATGGTTTAGCGGTGTCTCACCGAAAGTGTCTCACCGGGTACCGAAAGTCTAATCAAGGTGGCCGATTCTTGATCGGCCCTGCTCCGGATCCCGGCGATGTTGAGTGGCCTACCACTAAGTATCAACGACTTTTTAACAGCACGTCCCGACAAGATGCTAGCCAGCGACTTAACGACTTTGCGACTGGCACAGTCCTTAGCGATCGATCATTCAAAATGCTGTTGGAGGGAATCAAATCAGGGATACAGTCGAGCACGGGGACTACTTGTTGAAAGAGTGTCCGTCACTAAGGTACGGTACACTGGAAGCACACAATATGGATCATGCGATGTCAACTCAAGCTATCGAGTCCCATAGACTAGAAGCCATCCCCGCTCGGTTTCCGCGAACCCGATAAATCGATTCTCACACCGTGACAAACCCTCTAGCGATGCAACCCGGGCATGAGTCGGCATTCAGCTTGCTTGTCCAAAAAGTCCCGAGGGGGCGGAGCATGAACACGTAGAATCAACAGACGACATTTGTTTGAGATGCCACGGAGAAAGTTTCACAGGATCGAAAGCTGGAAGCCCCGGGCCCCTGTCACCCCACGACATTTCCAGGGAGAAGGGGCATACCTGTGACCAATGCGGGTGAGGTGGCATTTGACAAGATGTTGAAACGGAGGTTCACCATCGTCATTGGGGGGTAGAAATCCGTACATCTGATTGTACCATGATGTTTCCTATACACTGCAGGATACTTGGGAAGAAAATATGCAGCTAATTATTAATACCCGCCGGGCTGACCTGCATCGGATTGCGCCGCCGCCAGCCGACTCAGGAACAAATCTGCATGCAGTCCGCCTGATTGACGCCCGAGATCATAAGGCGTTCTTCTTTCACCATGTGCGTCATGCACCTTCGACGCAGGGGGAGGGGAAGCGGGAATGCATAGAACAAACATTGTTCGATCGAAGGGGACTGCCCGCCTGCAAACAGGAATTGAGTCATCGCGTGGCACGACAAAGCGAACAAAGAGAATGATCCCAGAGACACACGTGGTATGCGATTCAGGAACGCCCCAAACCCAAAACCCCGGATGAGAAAACGGTCTCAGAGGGGAGGGTGGGAAGGAGCGCTTGCTTGCTGCTTCAGCCTTCTGGTGCATGGTGTACGAACTACGAAGTACTCCGTACCGACCGGACCATGGAACCGGGAATCAGGGCCGAGTGGGCGATGCGACGGTGAGAGCGTCATCGCTTGGGGTAGAACTTGAACCCGCCAGACCGGATGCACTTGGTTCCATTTGCCAGGCTTGCTTTGCCTAAGTAGCGTGAAGCATGAAGCGTCGCTGGGAGTCTCCATGTCTTGAGTCTTTGGGCTTTCACTCTGGAATCGCTGCTGCAGAGTGAAAATATGTGAGTCTCACTCGCTCTTCTCACAGTGAGACACCATGCACCAAGAAAAACGTTGTCGTAGGGCATCAATTGAAATTCACCATCCCAAGATGGGTTACGAATTTCAAGCGGAACTAGACGAAATAGGAAGAAGGCGAGGAAAATCTTTTCGCAGCTTTGCGCCGTTGCGGGCGTTCTGCGTCCTTGTTCCTGGAACTTTTTCCTGGTTCCTGGGGTTGGCGTTTGGTCGCTTAGAGGCCGATCAACTGTCGCCAAACAGGGGCAGCCAACCACAGTTTACGGGTTACCGGCATCGCTTCTCGAAGGGCAAATACCATCTTGGATCGATTGATTGATTGCGGCCCAGCCTACTGGGTGGGAGGTGGTGGCGGTGGAAGGCGGGCGTTGGGCCGAAAAGAAATAGGTGGCTGCAACTATCAACATTTTTCAAGTTGTACTTTACGGATAGACGAGCAGCCAATGCGACGCAATACAACACACGTTTACGACAACCGTTGTCCGCTCAGCCACTGCAAGGAGAGAGAAGAAAAAAAGGAGGTCGGCTTCCATGACGAACATGAAGACATTGTAAAAAGTCGACAGACATCTCGGACAGCCCGATATGCAAGGGTAAAAATCTTCACAAGCAGATTGCACAAGTCTCCACGTTCATTTATCGCAGCGAGAAAGAAGAGGGGATTCGGAGAATAAGAAGGAAAGAAGGAGTGGAAGAATGATAGATTCGAGATTCGAATGTGGACCACCGACCGCGGCTCTCGGATCCATTCTCCTTGGGAAAAACAAGCGCCATCTTGCAATTATTCTGCATCGGTATGGAGTACTGGTCCGTAACCCGGCATGTCTAATAAATAAACATGCAATATTATTTCGCTGTTTTAGTGTTGAGTTGTCCGCAATCTCATTTCAGCCCACCTACGCGGTATTGCTGTGAAGGCCCCCCCGGTCTCCCCCGGCCTCTGCACTGACAAAGATCCCGGACGGTGGACGGAGCACCTAGCGGGCCAGCAGCATCTTTGACATTTGCAGTAGCAGGGCAGCAGGGCAGCAGCAGCAGCACCCTGCAGATATTGTGGTTTTTTTCTTCTTTCTGTGCAGCACGGGCATCTCCAGAAACAGACGACATTTCCATTCTTGTTTATTGAAAAGGGTCAAGGAGCGGGAAACAGGGAGATCAATTTTTTTTTTTAACAAGATAGTGACGAAACAATTAGGGACGCACCAGGAAGGGGCGGAAAAGGGGGAAAGAAACCACGGCAGGAAGGAAGGATGGAAGGAGGGAAGGAGGCAGGTTTGTCTGCACCTTCTTCCCCAAGACCGAGTAACAGGTACGTATACACAATAGACAATACCTGAGAAGTTAGGAATACATGAAATACTTGATACATCATGCTGCTCGTTTGCGCCTCTCCATTTGTTCCATCGTCACATCGTCACATCTTGGATCAGGGTGATCAGGGTCCCCTCCCCTTCTCCAAACGCTTTCTTCGTCACCAAGACCAAACACAAATCACAAATCAAAGCCATCAACAAACCCCCCTCTTCATCCCTCAGTGACGACATCCCATCCTCGTCCGACGCCCCGGCCTCCAAAACCCAACGCTACCCGTGACCCGTCAGCTTTAGCTACGCATAGTTTGAGCAACACACACCAGTGACCAGCAGCACCACTCATCGGAACTGTAGGCACGAGAGAAACACCATCGCTGCAGGGAGCTCCCCTCCTGGAGCTTGCGCCCACCCCTCCTACGATCCCACAATCACCGAGACAGAGCCGCGCAGTCGCATCCCGTCTTGCAGCCAAACAGCGCTCGGTATAGACTCTTTTATTTCAATACCAGTACCTCACCGGGTCAGAGCTGGAAGTTCCCCATCAGAGCTCCCCCATCGGGCAGGCCTCATCCCTCTTGTTTCTTCCACCTTACCCTCGGACGGGGCGACGCTCGGGCACTCCAGTGATCACTCTTTTTCTCTTCCACGACCACCACAGACATCTCATACAAGCACGGCAAGGAAAACAACTACATAATAAGAGGGCGGAACGAGGAAGAATAGAGTCAGAGGCCCGGTCCTTGGTCTGCTCGTTGCTTTTGCCTTTAAATCCGCACCCATCTTCGAGCTTTGGGTTCCGATTGTGTTCAATTCGTATTCTACCGACATCCTTGTGTACCTACCTACCTTGGGTGGTTATCTTTCCTGTCTCGTAGGTTCTTGCCTTTCAAGTTTCGGCCCCCAAAGACCGAGTGCATCCGTCAATCCTTCCCTTCCATCGATTCATTGCAACGCAACGCAATACAATACGACGCAACACAACTTAAGGTCCAAGGAAGAGCGTACCACAGCACCGCCGCCAAGGGTCGCTATCAAAAGCAAGCGCATCCCCTCGCTCATTCTTCCAACTCTCCAGCCATTCATCCATACCGAATTCAGTCCACCCACCACCATCCCGCATTATCGCTGCGATATTCGGGCCATCCCAGAGACACACCACCCAACCATCAGCAGGCCTACCAACAGCCTCGTCGCACTTTCGGATTGCACACCAATATCCCATCCCGCAGCTTACCATCAATTTTCACCTGTTGACTGCATCTGCGGCGGCGCCCAATTGACCAACGACGTCTTCTGTTTCCCGCATCGCTCAAGCTCCCACTCGCGACAAAAGAAACATCTTGTCTCACCTTTGAGGGCGAAGAATACGAACGGGTTCTATTTACGTCCAGTCAACCCATTCCCACCGATTCACTCCTCGCTCATTGCAACCTTAACGGTCTACACTCTCTGTCTCGCGCGCGCGCCACACGATACGGACTAACCCCAACGACACCTCCATCATCCCATCCACATCCCTCTCAGTGGGCACGTAGAAAAGGCGACGAACGACACCTGCTACCCGCACCAAAGCAACAAGATCACCCAAAATAACAACCACGAGGCGAAGAGAGGCGACGGAAACCACACAGACACACACCTTTCTTGAATTCCGGTGTCTTCCACTCTCCTTCTCGTCTTCGCTTCCCCCACCTTGCCCAGAAAAAGCCCACGGTCCCAAACGAACGAACCCTGTTTGGGGGCCGCTCCCGTGAACGATTACGCCACAGCCTTTTGCCTCTTACTCGATCCTAACTAAAAGAAGAAAAACGGTCGAACCGCGCGCGCGGTCTGAGAGCCGAAACGAAGCTAAGAAGCACAAGAGCTGCTGCACTGCCGTCCGACTACCTTGCTTCCACGAGCCTACGAATACCTTACCTGCCCTACCGCCGCCACTAATAGAGAGTCGGACCTCTTCTTATCTCACATCACCCACCACCACTTGGTGTACTAGCGACTCTTTCCCACAAAACTTCTCGACTGAATCTCCCGAACCAGGGTTTCCTCCCGAAATATCACCCCGAGATCGCATTCGACCTTTCTTTGAAAACTCAATTCAACGCGTAACGCAGCAAACAGCGCATTCACGACGCCAAGTCTACCGTCATCAAGCGTCCTCTACTCGCGACTTCCAACGGCGCACGCGACGTGTGACGTGTGACGACACAACCTCGGAGCTGTCCCCGCAATCCAAGGCGGCCGACACTGGACCACCGCAACCACCACATCTCTGGTCTTTCGGAACGAAAATCAACCGCCACAATGTCAATCTCACAACAAGCCCCGACGCCAATCTCGATTACCATTTGCGGCGACGGCGGCTGCGGAAAATCCTCCATAACTCTCCGTCTCGTGCGTTCGCAATGGACCTCCGAATACGACCCCACTATTGAGGACTCCTACTCCATCACTCGTAAGATCGATGGACAAAACTACCATCTTTCTCTTACGGATACGGCCGGGCAAGAGGAGTACCGCGGTATGTGGGCATCATCAAACCTCGGCGCAGATGCCTTCTTGCTCGTGTACGACATTACCTCCCGCGACTCCATCGACGCTCTCCAGTACTTCAACGACCTCATCGATATGGAGGCAGAGACTCGCCTCGACAATGCTGAGCGCGCAAAACGTGCCGGCCTCTCACCCTCCTCCTACCGCGATACCGTATCTGCCACGCCGGGCGCTAAAACCGTTCCTCCCGTTAAGATCGTCGCCGGCAACAAATGTGACCTTCAAGAGTCCCGCGCCGTTCCTGCGGCCATGGGCCTAGACTGGGCGCGTCGCCGGGGGTGCGGCTTCATGGAGACGAGTGCACGGCTCGAGGTCAATATCGAGGAGACGTTTGCGCTCATTGTTCGTCGCGTTGTTGAGGCTAGGCGCATGGCGGAGCTGGGCGTCAACGAAAACATGGAGATGGATCGGAGAGGCATGACCAAGCCGCTGAGTCCCCTTCCGGCGGGCAGCGAGCAGAATGAGAAGCGTGGCCCCGGTGTGCGGGGTCCGAACATCGAAGGCAAGGTTGGCAAGGCATCGATATGGAGGAAGCTCCGGTGCTGGTGAGACTTTTGACTTGATGGGCCTATAAGCCTAAGATGGCTTCCGAATGCCGATGTTGCATCTAGAGCTGTCATGGCGGGGTTGCTACTCAACAGTGAGGCCGTCAAATGGGACTATGAGCGGCTTCACCTGCCGACCTGTGGCCGGGAGGGGGGCCGACGAGGAGGTCCAGGCCTATCTCTAGATAGATCCGGGGACGAGTGTGACAACCAATGTCATTACAGGTCGCCGCGCTGGGGGAGGGTCTGCATAAAGCGCCATGGCGATGAAGCGTGCCATCGTCCACGGGAGCAGAGGCAGCTTCGAAAGCCGGTACACCGTCGTTTCTGCACATTGGGGTTCCAGAGAGATTGGGACTCACACGCAAGTGTAGCATTATCAAATGGCGGCGTTTGGGAGTCTCGAGCGCAAGTTCCTCACCGCCTGTTGTACGGGTCGTAAAGGGCGAGGGATTCTACCTAGGGGGCGTTGGGCAAAACACCACCGATATGGCCCAGGCTGTATCTCAACTTTTGCGTTTTCTTGTATTATTGCTTTCGTTTAGATACCAATGATGCGTGTGAATTATCAAGCATATTTAAGGTGAAGCAGACTGATCAAGCTCTTTCCAATGTGAGATCTTGTTGAGATGAATGTAAATCTAATGAAAAACTAGAAAGTCATATCTTTTCTTTTTCATTCAAGTTTAGAGCACATGTACCACCGTCGCGACAAAAATCTCAATTCTCAAACTCGAAAAATCAACTGCCCTGATATCTTCTTCTCTTATCCCAAGTATACCACAACGCCGTAGCATCAAACAAACTCTTTCCGAAAAAACGTTACTGTCTTTGAAACCTGTCCAAAACATCTCATCTAGTCGTTTCTTTCCATCTACGCTCTTCTAATCCCCATCTAACAAGAAGTCTAGGTGGTGATCTTGGCGACCTTTTGCCACAGGCCGTTGTGGGACCAGGTCCAGTTCTTGAGGAAGGGCGGGTCCATGCCCGTCTCGAACGCCTCGATGCGGGCGGCGATCTGCTGGTTGCGCAGCGTCTCGCGGGCGGCGGCGCCGCGGTTGTGGAGCTGGGGCATGCGGTCGATGGCGTCCATGGCGAGGCTGAAGCGGTCCGTCTGGTTGCGGATGGCGAGCTCGAGGGGCGTGTCGATGTTGCCCTTTTCCTTGTAGCCGCGGACGTGGAGGTTCATGTTGCCCGGCCGCTTGTAGGTGAGGCGGTGGACGAGCCAGGGGTAGGAGTGGAAGTTGAAGATGACGGGCTTGTCGTCCGTGAAGAGGGAGACCCACTCCGCGTTTGTGAGGCCGTGGGAGTGGTCTTCGTGGGAGATGAGCTTGAAGAGGTCGACGCAGTTGACGCAGCGGATCTTGAGCTCGGGGAAGTGTTGCAGCAAGAGGTCGATGGCGGCGAGGGACTCGTGGGTGGAGATGTCGCCGCACGAGGCCATGACGAGGTCGGGCTCCTCGCCCTGGTCGGTGCTGAACTGGGGCCAGATGCCGATGCCCTTTGTGCAGTGCTCGACGGCCTTCTCCATGGTGAGGTACTGCAGGTGCTCCTGCTTGTCGGCGACGATGACGTTGACGTAGTTTGAGGAGGCGAGGCAGTGGTCCATTGTGGAGAGGAGGCAGTTACCGTCGGGCGGGAGGTAGATGCGGACGACCTCGGGGCTCTTGTTGGCGACGACGTCGAGGAAGCCCGGGTCTTGGTGCGTGAAGCCGTTGTGGTCCTGGCGCCAGACGACGGCGGTCAGGAGGATGTTGAGGGAGGCGATCTTGTTGCGCCACTCGACCTCGAGGGCCTTTTCGATCCACTTGCAGTGCTGGTTGACCATGGAGTCGATGACGTGGACTGCGCATTTTGTTAGCATAATGTGTGTTTAATACGTGAAAGAGAGTTGGACTTACTAAATGGCTCGTAGCTGTTGAGGAGACCGTGACGTCCGGTCAGGATGTAACCCTCGAGCCAACCCTCACAGGTGTGCTCGGAAAGCATCTCCATGACACGGCCCTCGGGGGCCAGGTTGCCGCCATTGGCATCCTCCTCAAAGTACTCGCCCATCCATACCTTCTTGCCGGCCTCGTAGACGGCACCGAGCTTGTTGGACTCGGTCTCGTCGGGTCCGAAGAGACGGAAGCTCTGCATGTTCTGAGCCATGACGTCCCGAAGGTAGGTGGCCATGTTGTTCATGCTAGCAGCCATGGTGCCGCCAGACTTGTCAACCTTGATAGCGTACTCCTTGAAGTCGGGAAGCTTGAGAGGCTTCCTGAGAACACCACCATTGGCCACCGGGTTGGCGCTCATGCGGCGGTTGCCGGTAGGGCAGAGAGACTTGAGCTCATCCGAGATACGGCCGTCCTTGAACAGACGCTCGGGCTCGTAGCTGCGCATCCACTGCTCAAGGAGCTTCATGTGCTCGGGGTTGGTAGCGGCGTTGGGGATGGGGACTTGGTGGGCTCTCCAGTAGCCCTCCAAGTAGTTGTCGTCAATCTTGCGAGGGCCAGTCCAGCCCTTGGGGCTGCGAAGGACGATCAAGGGCCAGATGGGGCGGAAGGCCTTGCCGGAGTCGCGGGCCTGCTTCTGGAACTTGCGGATCTCGAGAACGCAGTGCTCCAGAGTGGCGGCCATGGCCTGGTGCATGGTATCGACATCGTCGCCCTCGACAAAGTACGGCTGCCAGCCGTACCCGAGGAAGAGGTTCTCCAGCTCCTTGTGGGAAATTCTAGCCAAGATCGTGGGGTTGTTGATCTTGTAACCGTTCAGGTGCAGAACGGGCAGAACGGCTCCATCCACAATGGGGTTGAGGAACTTGGTGCTGTGCCATGCAGTTGCCAGCGGGCCAGTCTCGGCCTCACCATCGCCGACCATGGTCAGGGCAATGAGATCGGGGTGGTCGTAGACGGCACCGAATGCGTGGGAGACGGAGTAGCCAAGCTCTCCACCCTCGTGGATGGAGCCCGGGGTCTCCGGGGTAGCGTGGGAACCGATGCCACCGGGGAAGGAGAAGGACTTGAAGAACTTTTGCATGCCCTCAACGTCTTCCGACTTCTCTGGGTAGACCTCGGAGTAGACACCCTCGAGGTACGACTGGGAAAGCACGGCGGGGGCTCCGTGGCCCGGGCCGGAGATGAAGATGGAGTCGAGGTCGTACTTCTTGATGAGACGGTTGAAGTGCATCCAGGTAAAGATTTGACCCGGAGCTGATCCGAAGTGACCGAGTAACCTCAGCTTCATGTGCTCCTTCTTGAGGGGCTCCCTGAGGAGGGGGTTTTCCTTGAGGAAGATCATTCCCAAGGATAGGTACAAGCTGGCCTTGAAGAAGTCATTGTACTTTACAATGTCCTCCTTGGAGAGGGGCTCGCCCTTGACTGTTGACCGGGCCGGGCCATAGGGGCTGATGGATTCGACCTCCTTGTCGGCCATGTTGATGGTGACGGGAGGTAGGTATGTAAGTGTTGATGATGTTTGTTGTAGGTGTGGTCAGGCCAAGATGCCTTGAAAGGGGTGGTTTAGAAAAGGAAAGGCAAGAGTTGACTGAAGTCCGAGGGGGCTTGGTCTTTATACCTACTAGTCAGGCCGGAAGAGGTCAGAGGAGAGACACAGAGAGAGCAAGATATGTTGCGGTCATTTCGCCCAGAGGGCGGGCGGCAGGCGGGTAGCTCTGCCCAGGCTGGAGGTTGATGCTCACGTCTATGGTGCTGATCCCCGGCTGGAGGCCGGCGGGCATCGACTGAGTAGCGTAAACGCAGGTCCGGGAGCTATCAGCCGATGTTGACGGCTACCAAACTGGGTTGGAGGCGAAAGTTGCGGACGTTGAGAGAACAAGGGCATACAAGCAGGGGTGGGGTATACGAAGATACGGAACAGAACCTTGTGGCACATAACACGTTCCTTGATGGGACTCCAGGTGAAGCATCTTTTTGGGACTTTTAGCCTGGGGAGTTGGAGAAGTGGTAACCCCAGGTGCGGGACTCTCATTCATTCCACAATGAAAGGCTCCAATGGGCTGGCAACGTGGGGGGGAAGAGGAGAAGAGAAAGAGATGTCGGGTGTCATGGCATCCTGGCAACGTGGACTTTTGGCGTGGGTTGCCTTTAGTGGCATATGGCGAAGTTTCCTTCTGGGCGGTCCGGAAGCTGCCTATGACAGGATGACGGGACGAGAACTAAGACGGCGGCTGCAGATGAGCTGAGGAATTGCGGGTTTTCCTTGCATGTTCTTTTGGCGACGAGAGGTTGATCGGTGGGTGGTGCTGGTGATTGTGCGTGGGGAGAAGAGGTGGTCTGATTTTCTGAACGCAACTCAAGTGCGGCCATGGCACCAGGCGACATGTAGCCGACGTCACCTTACGCCCCACGTCGGTATCGGTTGTGATCCTGTCCGCGTCATAGTGCTTGATTTGCCCTGTCAGTCCGTTTTCAGGAGATTGGAGAAGGATGTTCAGGATCCAATGGCTTTTTGGGTCAGGAACGCTTGCACCTTGGTGGTTGAGAGGTCTCAGTCAGCGGAGGAAGTACGGAGAAAAACTGCTGCTCAGAGTTCAAAGTCGGGGCAGCAGCGGGCCGAGCAGAACCGCCGCTTCGGGACATGGTACGGTACCTTCAAGGTACGTATTCGGCACCGTCGGCAGCTGCCGTTTGCCGGTCCGGGCTACGTATCTGCGGTGTCCATGGTGAGCCAAGGTGAAGACGGTGACCAGGAAGGTGAAGAAGGTGCTGATGCACCCATCTTCATCACAATTTGCAACGTAATGCCTGCAACTACATTCGCATTATCGGCAGCTCTGCCCAGTCCGTGCTGTCGGGCCAATCTCTGTTACACCAACACGATTCTGACCCAATCCAGCCCATCCATGCCTGCATCAAAAAGCCTCAATCACCTTTTGGCTAGGTGGTCTCACTACCCGATCTTCGGGAATGAGATGGTCAACTCCCAGGACAACGGCTAATCGCCAGATACGATTCCCTACTTGGAGTGGCGCCAACCGAAATGACACACCCAAAATATCTCCCTACCATCACGGGACAGTGGCATCCTTCTATCGAGAAAACAGCAGAATCCATTCAACCTCGCCTTCAAAGGAAAGCCAACAGAGCCTCCATCCCGGGTTAGGCATGCTCTACGGCACCACCGTTTCGGACCGTTTACTCGTATCAAAGCCCTATCGCAACCAGCGCCGGTGTCTCCGTGCAACCGGCTTAGAACAACCGGCCTTTTCTCTCGATTCGCTTGTCTGGTCGACCAGGCCATTGATGGCCCGATGATTAGCTGCACCAATGGCGTTGGTAATGACAATGCTGTGCCGGAGGAGCAAGACGATCATCGAAACAAGGACATCGTCAGTTAGCCGGCAAGGGATATGAATGACAGGCCCGGCAAGCCTGGCAGTGAACCCGGACGCCTTCTGCCCTTAGCCAGTCTAGCTAGGCATGCAGCAAATATCCCGCCATTGCAGTGAGGTGCCTTGGTACTTGGCCTTCTTCTGCAGGCAACTGGGCAGGCTGTGCCGAATTGCATCGGACTCCCTTAGTCGTGTAAGCCTGGCATAAGGCACGAATTAGGCGAAGGAAAACCAGTGACGGTGCGGAACCCGGCCGGCTCCTCGCCCAGATCCAGAAGCAGCTGATTCATGGCGAGTCTGGATTATGGCATATGCACGCAGATCATGGCACCGCTCATCCACGACTTGCCTTACGTGCCACAATAAGCCTGGCAATCCCGGTTCACTGGGGGGCCTGACACACCCCGCCAAGTGTCAATCCTGCAGACATCAACCCACCACCTTTCACGGCGGGAGCTAGGACCCCAGCCCCGAGAAGACGAGAACAAGGTGGAGGGGAGCTTGAGCTGGAGCTGGAGCTTGAGCTCGGTGCTCGGTCCTTGGTGCCACTTCCGCAGAAACAACGCGCTGTTTTGAATCGCCCTTTATATCGTTTTTCTGGGAATTTCTCGCCCAGGTTCTTTTTCTCTTCAGCATCAGCGTTTCTTCTGCATGCAACAAGTATCCTGCCCCCAGAGGCCACGCCATCCGCCGAATTTTGACTGACCTTCAGTGTATTGGGTCTTGAGAGAGTCAGAGCAATTGCAGCGGCAACCGGCAAGTCAACTAAGTGATGAGACCTCGCCGATGGAGGGGTAGCCTCTTGGCGAAACCCTGCCAGATGAGGGGAAAGCCCAAAATATGCGCTTGAAGGAATGTTCACGGAATGCCGTTGGGTTCCAAGTCATCCGGTGTTCCGCATTAAGTCAGGACTTATGCCAGCTACCAACGCCGGCGGTCCGCTTGAGACGACGATATGGGAATGCAACGACATACACTTATCAATATGATAGAATATTCAACCCCGCGGGCGATGAATAGGCTCGTCTTTCAGCGGGTACAGCCTTCCTCGCTGTACAACGTATTCGACTTGTTTTGTGTGACAGCACTCGGCAAAGCCAAGGGTCGATTGGACTAGACACGGGATCAAAACGTGACATTGCATCCATGGTCTCGAGGCTCTGCAAGTTGAATAATCTGGGAATCTGGGAGAAGTTCAAAGACAAGACAAGACATCTGCGACAATTTTATCACCATCAAACGCTAACCTCCTTGACCCGGAGAGTGGATTCCAACCTGCCATCTGAATCACCCCGACTTATCCTGAGTTAGGTATGAATTGTCTCATTGCCTCGACGTTTGCGCAACCTTGAGAAGTTCCATGTCTTCCTCTTTCACCGCAATCTCGGACTAGAAACAGGTTCCGATTTCCTTGGATCTCGATGAGCGGGACCCCTCGCGAGAAGTTGTTCAGCGAGGTGGATGGTGGGGTTTTCACATTCTCATGTCCTGATCTGATAATTTATGGGTACGAGGAGTCTGACAGCTGCGCTCCACGCTGTGCCGCATGTACTTCGTATGCGGGTCACCAAGCCAGGTCCTCCGAGCCGACCGGGGGCTGCTGTCCTGCGGCTGCGGCGGGGTTGGCGGGGGATCAGCCGCCGACACGCGGGAACTAACCGTTTACCAGCAGCACTCAGGGGCAGTAGGCACTTGCAAAGAGCTTGGTTCAGCTGCCTAGGAGTTTGCGTCGATCTGGCTTTGCTCTGGGCGCGGAGTCACTGCTATCGTGCCTACTCGCAAGTCAGGAGGTCGACATCTAAATATGCTGAGTTGCTCCTTTCTCAACATGGGCACGCACGCATGATTCATAGGAGGTACCGACCACGGTGAAGGCAAACTATCATACGGATTTAGCCACGATGAGCCACAGAATTTGGGGTTCATAAAAAAGTGGTCTTGATCCTCGTCACTTACGTCCCATCTCAATGACCATTGACTTACGATGACATCCAATCCCGGACCCCATTCTGGTCTGATATCAAACTGACAGCACAAAGATAATGTCCCCATGCGAGATTGCGACCCTTAAAACCAGAAGTCATTGTTCCATAATGCGAGACCCCCAATGGTAGACTTTTATTCATTTCCGATGGACGACGAGTAGCAAGTCCATCCCCCGCACCGACGGACTGAACTCTCTCGATGACCACTTTACTCCCTTTGCCATATGCCCATTTACCCGAAAGGGTTGCGAGACCGCGTAAACTCATTTAATTGATTTAGCTCACGAACCGTCCGAGCGGAACGCCCGTGACCACACCTTCATAGTAGAGAACAGCCAAGTGAAGGGGAGAGTCGACACACTTGGACATCACGGTGGCCTGACGTCACGCCGTCTCCCCCCGCGTTCTACGGTCCCCAATAGTTTGGTTCAGATAGAAAAGAAAAGGTAAAGAGAGGGGAAGTATAGAAGTTATTTTTGCATATACTCTGCTCCGTCCGCTCTCAGATTGCGACCAATGATGAAAACTTTCTTCCAACCTCTTCCCTGACTGACCATCAAAAACCGCCTTGTGAGTGATTCTCTTACGTCGAACATTATCATCCCATCCACAAGGAGAGTCGAATGAGCATTTCGATTGATTACACGATTATACGCAGAAGAAAAGAAAAACATCTCCACACCCTTGTAATGGCATCCTACCCGAGTCACAAACCTCAAACCCCACAGCCTCCTGCGCCTATCCCCATCAAGGACGGCGACGACGACCAGGGCGATGTGATGAGAGACTACTAAGATGGAAGAGGGCAACTCCGGGGGAGCGACAGGAAACTGGCTTTGATGGAAGTTGAATGGGTTCGGGCCGACACACACACACACAAGGCTTGGAAGAGGCAAGGAACACTGAGACTGTGATAAGATTACACACGAGCTGGGACGTGAGGGCAAAGGGAGGCAGGCTAATGTTGCAACTACTGAGACTGTAAGCGTGTACGATACTATGCAATTCCAACGACTTTCTGATTGAACCTTGACTTTCCAAGGCCCCCATCACGCGAAGAAATCATTCAGGTATGCCGGCAGTCCGCTTCATCTACTGCAGATTCCCAGCAAACCTATTCTCGTCTTCCCTCATTGATTCTGGGCCCCTGCATGTCTTCTCCCCCATCCTAGCTACCCGGGTCTTCAAGCCGGCGCCGCCATTCCAGGGTTCCAGACCTCATCAGACCACGCCTCTTCCCCTCCCCCTAGCTCTCCCCACGGGATACAAACGCCCGCAGCTGTGATCTTGACGTGATGATTGCATCTAGCGGGAATGACTAGCATCCTTTCCTTGCCCCAATACCTACCCCGCCCTATGTTCCGTCCCCCTTGGACGATCCTTCCGGGCTCACCTGGATCTCGCAGAGCAGTGTCTCAAGTATCACGCCAACAAGCCACATATGATATCTCAGATATCTTGCAGGATGAGGGATCGAAATATGTTTCTTGATCTTGCAGAAAGCTTGAAAAGTAACTGATAGATCTTGCGCGGTGTCTCATCTTACCCCTGGTTCCCTGGATCTCGCAGTAAGCGGGACCAGTGTCAATGTTCGAAGACGTCAGGTGATGACTCCCCTGCATATACATCGGATTTATTTTGAGGCTTACACCAAACCTAGTATGATAGACACCCCTTAGATGAGAATGATGGGCTTAGAGAAAGCAGTCTCTTCTAGATCCATAGCAAAGCGAAATAACTGGAGGCTTTTTCCAAGACCCACGCACCGAGATACAATAAAGAGAATATGGCAACTGGAGATCTCATTGAATTGTTACGCAACTGAGCAAAAGCCGAGTCAACTACACCTCACATCCGGATTCTGAGCAATAGCTGTCACAACACTTCGAACCACACCCGCCCCAAGAACACGGCCTTTACAGCCGCGAGAACTATTGAGACCATCCCAAGCCACTATTCCTACTCATGATCAATTCAACATACCCACCAGACTCCTGCACGTTCCCGTCTCACAACCAACTTCCTCAGGGCCTCCCCTTCGAGTAAACTGCTCAAATCTGCTGTACGAGGCCAAAAAGAGCCAGCAACGGCAAAATGGAATGCCCTCTCACGGGATTGAACCGTGGACCTTCGCATATCACAGCTTACGAGTGCGACGCTCTACCACTGAGCTAAAGGGGCGGAGCGGAGCCGATATCGTCGTCCTGGTTGGATCGGCGAGCGAGAATCTCCACACCGATGCCGACAGACTGTTTGGAGATATCACGGGTGATTGATGAAGAGGGACATTCAGCGAGTACAACGGAGAGAAGAAGTAAGACAGGAATGCGAATAGGGAGAAATGTGACGTCCAAATCGTTTCTATCATTACGCAAGAGGGTATTGGCGGTTGTTTCCCAGTCAGAAATGATCATGCCTCTACCAAAGCCATGCCCGCTCGTGCCTTTATAAGTCGAACTCCAATGAGCTATCTATGAGGGCCCAAGCGCGTACTCTACACTTTTCATCTGACAAAGTCCAAAGCCAATCTCTCAGTAAGTTGATGCGGATCACCGTATCGCCATTGTATCGTTATTTCGTGGTTCAGTCAAGCTGGAAACGTAGCTTGGATGGGCGTGCTGACAGCGGACGTGATGCCCTCTGAAAGTTCGGCGGAGTCCTCTTCACTAGACACAATTAGCGAAAACCTGATAATGGCTTGAGCCAAGCCCTGACTTACTTGCACTTCGTCTCCTTAATGTGCGACCCCTTTCCACCTTTGGATTTTCATCTGCCACGTCCGCTTCTGTGGTGTAACTTCCGAATAAGTCGAGAATGACATTCTTCGGCAGGGCGTTCTACTCCTTTAGTGACAGAATGCCTGAGCCCTGCGGCCACTTGTTCTCTACGTCAATGAGTTCGATGTCCCCATCGGCATCCCGATCTCCGTCCTTGGCAGCAGAGTCAGGGTTTTCTTGCTGGCGTTTAGGGACTCTGACCAAGTCGCCTTCTTTGCCATCTTCCACGTAACAGAGGTAGTAAGGATCGCCGTTGCTGTTGAGAGTCTTCATGACCTCCTTCGTGTCGGCGTTTTCTGTGACGACCCTGTCATTGTATTTGCGCCACACTCCAGCCTCAAAATCGTGAATCCAGACCCAATAATGACCAGCTCTGAGTTGACCACTGTGGCAGATCACTGCATGTAGACGATACGCATGCTTCTTGTGTTGTGCGAATAGCTGATCAAGCTCCGCTTTATGGGACTTCAGTTCATCCTCGCGCATGTTGCTGATCTGCTGGCGTCCTTCCACCGTGAAGCCTGTAGGCTCAGGCAGCTCCACCTTTTCAAATGTCGCGTCCGACTGTGGAGGGTAGATGGGGAATGTCGGCTCTTGCCCCGCGAAGCTAAGGGACGACGTGGGCATGTCGTTGAGAAGTGACGATGTCTCCTCAGCATCAGTCTTGTTAACGTGTACAAAGTCACTGATGAAACTGTCGATGAGTTGAGTATCCTCGGCCGCAGTCTTGGGCATGTTGTTCAGCTGGTCTAAGCGCTGTTGAAGAGCCCAGCCTTTCTGCCGCAACTTGAAGAACTGAGGGTCGTCCGGGGTGTCCATATACCGGTCGAGATACAATGTCTCGAATACCTCAACCGGGTTCATGTTCTTGTGGCCATCACCTTTCGTTCTCTGGATAAGAACGTGTAAGATCGGAGGAAGCTTCTTGATCGACGTGTATCGCATGATATCTGCTTCTCCAGCAGCGACGCGCTGGAGATCAAAATTGCGACTAAGGCCGTCATGAATGTTCGTCGGCCCACCTTCAGCAGGATATGCCGTGATGGCACGCTCCAGAGTTGAGTCTGATTTGTACTTGTCCTGATTGGGGAACTTCGTGTGGTTGGTCAACTCAACATAGAACGTGTCCATGATCGGCTCCCACTGGACCTCATCAGTGGTATCTACCCTTGTAGGCTTAATGGCAGCCTGCAGACGGTTGATGATGCTGCCCATGACCTCTTCGACGTCTTGTTGATCTGTGCCTGAGTCTCGGGTCTGTGTTTCCAAAGCCTTGAGAACTCGTTGTTCCACGTTGAGAACGGCTGTATCGACTCCTGTCATTTTGACATCGTCATCGTTTGTGGATCGGGCTGAGGACTCCTCAACTGGATGAGAAACGATTCTGATGTCGGTTTTATCCTCGGGCACGTAATCCTTCTTCTCATAGTCAACATCGGAAAGGTTGACCAGAGTCTGAGAGCTTACGCTGCTGGCAGATTCAGAGACCGGGTCCACGGTGACGTTAACCATGTCAACGTCCTCGACATGTTCTGCCGTATGTGTAGGAGGCCCAGGAGCAGGCCTGGCAGGGAGTGGCGGAGGGGCGGGAAACTGGGTACCCATGACCTCCAGAGTCTTCGGCTCCTCCGCAGTCTTGCTCGGTTGCTTGGTAGGGTCTTCGGTCAAGTTTGAGGTCGGCAACAGCACGGCATTGGCCAGACGTTGGGATGGTCGGATAGCACTAGCCTGAGAGCCACTAAGATTGTCCAAGAGTTTGCTCAACTCATCGACGACTATAGGGTGTTAGCAATTGCTCCCCATGCTTATCATGCTAGAAAACAACTCACAAGCGCGGGCAACAACTGCCTCGGCACGATCGATTTTGAGCTTGTTGCCGCCGACCAGCCGGCGTTGAATATGCGAATCATCTAGGCCTAGCTCATAGTCTGGGTAATGGGCAAGCAAGTCTTTGATGGGAATGACAGTGTTGAGATACTGAAGAATGCTGTTCAGGTAGCAAGTGTTGCCGATATTCTCGAGACCGACAGGTAAGTTGGCTGAGCTGGAAGGTCTGGCGTCCATCTCTACAGCTTGCGCGGACTGATCCGGAGCTTGAGCCAATAGAGATAAAGTCCTTGCCGCTTCGCGGATTTCGTCGCTATTCCTATCCTCGGCGATAGCTTCCATCGCCTTGATCGCGACTTCTTCTGTAGCTTTGCTTTTCGGGTCCTTATTCAGCTAGAGAGATTGTTAGTGGGGTCAGACAATCGCAGTTCCGGGTAAACAACTCACCTTGACACTGGACATCATCACAATGGTGCTGTCAGGCCATTGAGGATCTACCTCAAGAATGCGATAGGCCGAGGCGACGTCCATCGGGCCGTTTGCGTGGGTAAGAATGCGATCGCTGTTCCTGTGGCGCCCGATGATTTGTAGCATTTCTCGGGCGGAGTCAGCTTGAGAGGGTGAATGTTCGATCTTGGTATTGAAGGCAGAAACGACATCATCGTCGCTGGCGGTGTATTTGAGGCTGAAGAATTGGTACGCCTGTGTTTGCAACTCGTCGCCTGCGCCAATGCTATCCGGAGCGGGCATCCCGTCCATAATGGTGAGCTCTTGGATCGCTCGGGTTTGGAAATCGTCGTCGTTTGTGAGGAGAGCAATATCCTTGAGGGCCTCGACAAACGTAGAACGTCGCTTCTCACAAAGAGCCGACTGCCGAGTGTAAGCAAAAAAGATGAGTGCCTTGTCGAAGTCCGGGAGGACTCCAAGAATCCGATGCGCTTCCGTTGCTGTTTGTGGAATCTTGTTCTGGGGGTAGTCAAGACATTGCAGCTCTTTGAAGAGCCTGTTGCCGACGTAGGGCCGATTTTCGCCAGTCTTTCCGCCTCTTATTATGACACTCTCCGTCTCGGCCTGCATATCCTCAACAAATGCCCGCAATGCGCTGAGCTCCGTTGGTGTGCCGGGGGTGCCAGGTTCGAGAGTGGGCGGGATGAAGTAAGGCTCAAGAACCCCGTCCTTGTCGAGATTTTCCTCTGTGAACATGATGGCTCTGAAAATGACGTAGCATTCTTCGCCAAATACGACCTGGAAGCGCTTATTACGCTGAGATATGTTGCGTGGATTGGGCCTGTCCAGCAAGTCTCTGAGATAGGTGTTCAGGGTGACTGGAGCGCTTGTGCACCAATCGTCTCTTGCGTCCGCGAATCGTTCCGGCGATTGCTTCCTGGCTTTTGCCAGATTGTCCAGAATGCGCTGCTCATCGAGAAGGAGGTGTAGCCACTCGCGCTTGAGCCGAGGCCGTGATATCTCGACTGTAACTTGCAGTGTGCAGCGAGGAGCGGAGCAGGCGAAGTGCTCGACAGCGAGTATAGTCTCACGGATGAGAGGATGGTAGTTTGACGTCGACTTGATCGGTCGAACCGGCTGCTTGATGTTGACGAGATGATGGAGGTAGAAATCTGTGTCTTTCGGAGGGAAGTGGAGGGCATTAGGGCGACACAGACAGACAAGCTGATCTGGGTCCCAACAGGTTCTGATCAAGAAGTGGAAGTCGCAGATCGCGCAGACACAAGACAGCACACCAGGGTTGCGAGTATCTGATGTGCTCTGGTTGCCCACCAGGACGAGTCGATGCGGTACTCCGGGCTTGCTGCAGCGCGCCTGTTGGTCCCATTCGATTCTTGCGAAGGATCCGGAATCAAGGTCAGAGCTGAGCAAGTCTTGGATCCACCTTGGGGCAAGGCGTCCTAGAGAAATGTAAGCATTCAATATCAACAGTCGATGGGACAAATTCGGGTGGGCCATAGTGTCGTGAAGACCAGACGCGCAATCCGTGCTCATTTAAAATGTCCAACGTACCAGTCTTTCCAACCATGTTCTCTTTGACCGGCGCAGGGCTGCCTTCCCAGTGCTGGGTAGTCGGTGAATCGCTTGGTGACATGATGGAGTAATGGTCCGTGATGGCCATGCGTTACTGCCTCTTTCGATATGGTATGCTCAATGATGAATCGAAGCTCGCGCTAACCCTTTGACTGGACGCTTCAGTGTGGGTAGACCGGAGGATTAATGCTTCGCATACAACTCTCGAATCGTCATCAGCTTCCCGTGCGGGACCTCCAGTCACAGGTTGGTGGTCGTCTACGAATATGTATAGTTTCGATGTAAGTGCTCGGCCAAGCTAGTAGCTCAACGTAGCCAGTAGTGCTTCGGGTGGATCGACGGGCGGCCGTAGTTAATCCTCGTCCGTCTACTGATATATGACCGTCAAAGACTATCGCAGCCGTCGGCGAGAATATCTATGTTCGTATTGGAGATGCGCAACTCGATGTATGTTCGGCGGAGGATCGCTCGATCGCGAACGGCAGGGTAGGTTCTGTTAGACGCGGGGCACTCAATAGCCGTTAGTTCAAGAAGGCGAGAGCAAGTTGCATTCAGAGAGAGAGGACGAACAGCGAAGGAGTTTCTTTTGTCGAGGCCGGTTGGGTTGGCTTTGTGGCCGAGAGTGTTTGTCGTGCCGGCCTCAGACGGAGGCCACGCCTAAATCGTGCGGTGCGGTATGCATGCGGGGGAGAGTGGCAGAAACAGCGACGTGGAGAAGAACGCAAGCAGAGCTCGGGGTATCTAAATGCATGTGTAAACAGATAAGAAGACTGTAGACCCCAGGAAAAGACGACGACGTGAAAAGTGTCCGAAAAGGAGGATGGTAAACAATTACGCAGCTTCAATGCGTCAAGGATAGGGACGGACGTACGGGCAAGAGCTACCTCATGCGACTTTAAGGTGGGCAGGTAGTGTGTGGTGTGGCGGGGATCGAGACGTAGACAGGCTGACGCAGCTGGTAGCCTCGCACTAAGCTGTCGCAGTCGAAGGAGCTTAGATCACCTGGAAGGTACTTTGCCAGCGAGAGGAAGCTTCCCCAGTGAGGTACCTCAGGTGCTTGGGTAGGTAGGTATGTAGCCGCTAACTTCGTCACCGCCTGCCGAGTTCTTCCAGGTCGACCCCCGGGTCGGCATGGGGCGTTTAAGGCACAGCGCCTGTGGCTAGAATCACATGGAATGCAGGGATACGGCTTCCATGAACCGTCGTCGGAATCAAGATCAGGTGACCTGGCGAGCAGATCCAAGCTCGTTGGAGAAAGGCTGAGTCATCAAGAAAATTGCACCACCTACTTCTTCTGCCCAAGCAACCAAGGTGCCTCCTGACCTCAACCGAGAAAAGACTGGTTGAAACAGGTGCGAATTGGTCTCAGGTCATCGTAACCTGGAACGCCATGTCAAATATGAATTGATTGTTTCTAGTTCGATACAGAATGAAATTACAAGTACCTTACTTCATGAGCCAAAGCCAAAGGCAGCAACACACCTCACCGAGGGCATACACAGTTGACCTTTGCACGTAATCTGATTGGCTCCACACCGAACAAACACGTGACTGCCCCGGAGGTGGAGCACCTGTCGTGGAGCTTCAACCTGACCTCAAACTTCCGCAACATCCCTCACCAACTTCTTTTCCAATTGAGTGTCTGGCCCGCGACTCCGAACCACCCCGCAACCATGGCCGGCGACCACGATACGTACCACTCCAAGGACGCCATCAAGGCGGCCATCTCCTCCTCGGCCGCCCTCGGTGGTGCCGGTTTCTTCATTGCCGCTGTCCACAATGCCCTCCAGAAGCAGAATGTTGGCGCCATGTCCGTCTTCACCCGCAGCGGCGGCATCATCGCCGTGATGGGTATGTCGCCCAATTACACTTCGCCAAGTCCAATTGAAAGGGCTTCGATGCTAACGAATGTGCGCAGCGATTGGTGGTGGCGCATACGGCTTCACCAAGTCGGCAATGGCCAACCTGAGAGAAAAGGACGACCCGTGGAACACCGCGACTGCCGGCTTCATTGCCGGTTCAATCCTCGGAATGACAAGTATGGATACTAGCCCCGAGTCTGGAAAGACGCAATCGAGACAGGATACTTACAAGTCGCGCCTCACACAGCCAGAAGAAGAATGCGTTGGTCGTCTTCGGCGCACAAGGAGTCGAGGTCACCGGCGGAGTTCGAGGTCACCGGCGGACGCCTCAGAGGATGGAACACGGCCGAAGTTGAAGAAGCCGATTTCGAGGGCAAGATTGCTCAGCGCGCAGCCAAGAGACGCCCGATCGAGGAGACGATTGCAGAGCTTGGCGAGGGCCGTGGTATGTTCAAATTTTGGAGTACGGGGCTTGATATCCCACGGAGGGCTGACGCGTTGCAGGTATCCGGCCGCCGGGCTACGAGGAGCGGAGACGTGAGCGGCTCAAGGAGAAGTACGGTGTTGAGATCAACCCCGTCAAGGCAACTGTCGAGTAAAACAAAGTCAAACGAAACATCAAAACCATCACCACCACCAATCCACCACCCAGCCCAGCGAGGCATGCTCTTTTATTTCCCGTTGCTTGTACATATACACAGCCTGCGAAACACGTGGGCACATGAAGAGGAGTCTCATCGGCTAGAGGAAATGGAGAATTGTACTATTTTTTTCTCATGCTCTCTGAGCTTCCGCGTGATGTGTGCCTGTCTCCAATGACGCACCGCCGACTGCGTCTCAACAATGGTACGTTATTGCATAATGCCGGCATTTGCCAACTACAATGATGATACAATAGCTTCAGAGGCTGTTTATGAATTATTTTATGATTCGACCCATCACCGTTCTATCAATTATCTGATTTTGAGTTTGTTCTTTGGAAACTTTTATATCTTGATGTCCTCGACGCTCACTAACAGGAAGTCGATTTCTAGCAGCAACCAACAACGCCAAGTGTTTCATTAGCACCGCTGCAATCTCATCTACTAATAGTAAGTTTATCTTGTTTACATCTTTTCCCTCCTTTTGATGATACAATAGCTTCAGAGGCTGTTTATGAAATCACTTCATGATTCGACCCATCACCGTTCTATCATTCGTCTGACTTGGCTTTCAATACTCATAATTTTGCATAACATTATCTATAATTGAAACTGACATCCAAATCTAGACCTGACGTCAGTGTGCTATACTGAGTCTCCGACACATACCATCCACATATGTTAAGGTAAGTCTTGGCAAGTTCTTTGTCTCTACCCCATCTCTCTTGATGATACTCAAGCTTCAGAGGCTGTTTATGATCTACATGATTCAACACATCACCGTTCTATCTTTTTGTCTGATTTGCGATTCAAATTTCCGATTTTCTGCGTCTGCCAGGCTTTCACGAATACTGACATAGCTTTCAGGCCAGCATGATCTCACCTTCGGGCCTAGCCCAACTTGATGTTTTCAGAGTAAGTCCAGCCTTCGTTTTGATACAATGCACATTTTCTGTATGATGATACACTAGCTTCAGAGGCTGTTTATGATCTTCATGATTAGACCCATCACCGTTCTATCATTTGTCTGATTACACTGTTATCTTTCCTGTCATTATTGCATACTTGTTGATCTTTCAACCCGTACTGACAGCGACGTCTAGGCATTCGAATGCTAGAAAACTGCAGAAACCATATAGAACTACAGAGAGAAGTAGAGAACAGAAGCCATGGAAAGACGCTCGGTGCGCCACCAGATCTACACGAAGACTCTTTCACTTTTAAGATCAAGGGATCAGAGTGCAATATCCCCCCCCCCCCATAGTGTGGACAGACTTTAGTTGAAGTAAACGCCGTGATAGAACGGCGGACACGGGTGTTCTCGTCCCTGAGTTCGGTAAGTTTGATTTTCTCTCGTTACCCCCTTTCTCCAACATGATGAATCACTAGCTTCAGAGGCTGTTTATGAATTATTTATGATTCGACCCATCACCGTTCTATCATTTTTCTGATCCTTATTACACCACAACATCTTGGCTGTCCGTATCCGTCGAGGCCCGACATCGGCTAATCAGTCTTCAGACACGATCTATTTAGCTCACTGGGCTTCTGTTCACATGAGAATATTCTTGCAGTCTGGAGCCGATGTTCAAGTTTTGGTAAGCACCCTTCCCGCATCTCGCGTCACCAAATCAAACCCCAAGTACATGATGAGACTCAGCTTCAGAGGCTGTTTATGATTACAATCAACATGATTCGAAACATCACCGTTCTATCACTTTCTGACCCCCCCTACAACCCTGCAACCTTACTCACATTCAAACATCATTTGCACACAAGATTGCCGGTGGCTAACTTCGTTGCCAGATCTTTTTGGCAGCGCTTTCCAACATGTCCTGGATCGATCATGATGAACATACTTTATCATTGATGCTCATCTCTAGCAGTTCTACGGCGTTGTGCAGCGCTTTATCCATGGTACGTCGTTTTCTTCTCCGCCCCTCCGACATTTCTCCCCTGTTACTATGATGACATCCAGCTTCAGAGGCTGTTTATGAATGTATTTTGTGATTCAAACTTTTACCGTTCTATCATTTGTCTGATTTGTCTCCATGACAATATTCTATTTCGATCCCCCTACTGGATACGTTGTTCAAGGCACTAACAACCTAAAGTCTCTAGTCGTGCATCCCTCTCTGCGCTGGCACTATTTATCACATCGCATTGAGTGATCCGTTGATTTTTCTACGTGTTTTCCGTTGTAGTTTATCGTTCTTAATAAAAACCATTCTTCTTCAGAAGCCAGCATTTTGATCGTAATATTGTACACCAGTGATCTAGAACCCCCAACGCCTTGCGCAAACTTATAAAACGAGGGCAGGCATCAATGGGGCTACCCCTCACAAAGTCTTGACAGACTGGAAAAAGGGGTTCGCCAGCAACTTCTCATCCGCCATGACGAGCCCCTTGAGCTTGGAGACCATCTCCTCCTTACTCATCTGCCCAGCGGCAACCTCTTCCTTCCACTTGAGCAGCACCTCCTTGAGCAGCGCGCTGCCCTCCTCGATATCCGTCTTGCTGTACTTGAGCCCTAAGTCCTCGTGCTTGGACGTAAAGTCCTCCAGCTCGTCGGCCTTGCGCTTCGCCATCCGCACGACCTTGTCGGGGAAGCGGACCAGCTCTGCCACGTGGATACCGAAGCTCTGGTCGCACACGCCGTCGTCGACCTTGTACAGCAACGTCACCTCGCGCTTGCTGTTTTCGCCGCCGCCGCCGCCAATGTGCGCGGTGACGTGCAGGTTGTGCACCTGCGGATGGTCGTCCGCCAGGGCCGTCAGTTCGTGGAAATGCGTCGCGAACATGGCGAAGCACCCAATCTCCTTGACAATGTGTTCGGAAATGGCCCACGCGAGACCGAAGCCGTCGTACGTTGACGTGCCGCGACCAAGCTCGTCAATGATGATGAGCGATTCGGCCGTGGCCGATTTGAGAATGTTGGCCGTCTCGAGCATTTCCGCCATGAAGGTTGACACGCCCTTAAGCTGAGAGTCGCTGGCACCAACGCGAGCCAGGATGGAATCGAAGATGGTTAGCTCGGCCTCGCTGCAGGGGACGAAACAACCAATCTGGGCCATGAGGGCGATGACGCCGATCTGGCGGATGTATGTTGACTTTCCGCCCATGTTGGGGCCAGTGATGATGAGGAATGAAGACTTGTCGCGAGTCAAAGAGACGTCGTTCGTGATGAACTGTACGTCGTCTTGCATCTCCAGACATGGGTGTCGAGCTTCCTTCAGGATTGTCTGGCCTTCGCCCCGTTTGTGAATCTTGGGTCGGACGTATTCCGAAGGTGCATGGACAGAACAGTGTGCGAGCGAAACGATGACGTCCAGGTGTGCCAAGACACCAGCGAGTCTCTCCAAGACGGGGCAGTACGACGCAACTACGCCAACGACCTCATTGACCAAACTGCTCTGGGTTCTGTTGTAGTTCTGCGACAGCTGGTCGAACTCGCGACGGAGACTTTGGAGGGTCTTCGTCGTGAAGTATACACCGTTCTTCTGCGTTGAGCATTCCTGGTAGCCCGACTTGTTACGGATCGCACCGGCCTCTTGTCTCGTGAGTCTCATGCAGTAGCCGTGGACCTTATGGTTCTCGAGGAAGATCTTCTTGCCGACTTCCTGCTTCAGGTCGCGAGCGGCATCCGAAAATTGTTGATCAATATCCCTCTTAAGCTTGTCGAGCTTCTTTCTGATGATCCTCAAGCTGTCGTCGAACTCTGGCTTGATAATGTACTCATGGTTGTCGAGCGCATCCAAGTCAACCGTGGTTTCAACCATCTCCGAGAGCTTTGCAAGACTATTGGAAAGCTCACGGAGAGGGGTCGTGTAGGCTTCATCGAGAGGATCTCTGTAGGCTTCGTCCATGACACCCTCAAGGGTTCCCAAGAACCCGGGTAGACGGATGATGACCTGATACGCACGAACAACGTCCTCGAGGTTTGCCTTGCCCCTTTGGAACCGCTTGGCGAGACGGTATAAATCCGGAACTGAGCGAAGGTGCTCCTCTTGCATAGTCTGCCGCAGCTCAGTGTCGTTGACGAATGCCTCGACAAGCTGTTGGCGCTTCTCGATTTCCTCCTTGTTCATGAGGGGTTGCTTGAGCCATTGCGACAGCAGTCTGCTACCGACAGGTGTCTTGCAATGGTTCAGCAGACCGTACAAACTCATAGACTTGGCACCGTCGCGGGCGCCGGGCATCAAGTTGAGAGCCTTGAGTGCCGCCGCATCCAGCTTCATGAACTGTGAGAGGTCATGCTGGTACAGCTGGTATTGCCCAAAGTTAGATGAATCGTGGAGAACGCCGAGGTACTTGATAAGAGCCGCGGCTGATCCCATGGCCAACTTGAGATCGGTTTGTGGGAGGAGAGTGGTGGCACGTTCGTCCTTCAAAAGACGTGCCAGGTCCTGCTCGATATCCTTGGTACCGAACTCGCTGGCAGACCGCTCCGAGACGGCCACGCCGCAGTTGACGATGATCTGCTTGAGCTTTGTCAGGTCGGGGTCCTTGTTCTTATCTGCCTTGTCTGTCTGAACAAGGCATTCTCTGACACCGAGCTGAATGAGGAGGGCCTCGAAGTTGGAGAAGAGGTCGTTGTCGAGGAACTCGCTGACACCCAGCTCTCGCACGCTGGCATCGGCGAAGCAGACGCCCACACTCCGGGCCTCCGAGGCTTTTGTTGAGATCTTGACGGCAAGCATCATCGGCGCTGCTTCAATTTGGCCACCGAGATCCTCCTCCACATCCTGCAGGTTGCCAGGCGAAGCTTGCTTGACAACCTTCCAGTTCATGCGGCCGCCGGTGCTCTCCCATATCTCGATTCTCTTGCCTAGCTTAAACAGTGCTTCTCGGAGGAATTGTCGGAATACCGTGACAGTCATTGTCACTGAGGCGAGCCCCGTCTTCTCATCTCGGCCGAGTGTCCTTACGACGGACGTTGTCTTGTAGACCTGGGAATTGTCAGACCGCTCAGCTCATGATAGTGAAGAGGTGATGTAGGGCCAGACGTACTGTGCGGGCAATGAAGTTGGCATCTTCGCCATGTGATGTGTACCAGTCGCCTCGGTCGAATATGCGAACTGTATCCTCGTGGACGGCCGGGAGCGACTTAAAGAAGCGAATGAAGCCGTGTTCATCGTCGACCTATGGCAATGACGTATCAGCGAGGCGTCTAGTCGGCATCGATTGGAAGACAAACCTTCAATTCAGGCCGGGAAGACATGGTGAGAAGGGTATCGTGAAGGATTGAATAGCGAACGGTAAAACGGAAAGCAAGATCAAGTTGAACAATGCAGGTGGTGTAACCCGTGCGTGACACCAGGTGCTGTGCTTCTCCCGAGTGAGCGAAGTTAAAGTGGTTTCCGAGTGTGGCGCGTCTGGAAATCTATCTGGCGGGAGACGCGACGCGCTGGCGCTAGTTCAATTTGGGTGGGAAAAGTGCTGACCGCCCTGCAATCTGCCGGGACTAATTAGGTATTCGCACCTCAATTACTCCATGCTAGCCACCACTACCGAAGATGCTAAGACTGTGAATGCCATTTAGCGAGCTTTGCCTGCTCCAAATTCAACTCCTCAGTCCAGAGTTGACGCTTTTCAGAAGTCTGCTCACTTTCACAGCAAAACGCCGTTGTAGGTGACTAGCTACAAATTTAGTAACTTACGCATCAAGACTTTGGCTCTGGCTACTGAACAGCAAACCAGCCGGTCTTTGTCGACATCTGATCTCACATCTTGCCAAACATACTACCTACGCTCTCATAGAACTGTCCACTCATCCTCCGGAACCCAGCCCCCCGCGTTGATGCTGTCCAAGAACTTGAGATCACTGCAGCTCAGAACGCGAGTTCTCTGTCGCGCCGGTGCCGCTGCAAGGGAGAGCTGCAAAGCTCCAACGACTGCCCCGCATTGCGCCCCAAGCAGTTTAGCGTATTTCTCCAACCTACCTGCGCACGCCCAGCTGGGCAACGACCATCGCAGGTGGTCATCGCCAAAATTTCGCAAAAGTCCCCCACTTCGCTACCTAAAGTTTGCACCGACGTCCAGCTCGACCACCGCAGCAATGGACACATCCGCAGCAGAACCCGTCAATCAGCCAGCAAAGGACCTCGAGATGTCCGAAGCCACGCCAGAAACCACCGCCGCCGCATCTTCGGCCGCCAATGGCGGTGTCGCAGAGGGTGCCGCAGCAGCAGCACCGTCGATCGCCACAGCAGAAGGAGGAGCGCAAGCCGCCGAGGAAAAGGAAGGCGAGGAAGCCGACGTCGAATCCGCGGGTCCAGCCGCAGAGGGCGAGGGCGCCGCCACCGAAGAACCCAAAATCTCAAAGAACCAGCTCCGCAAGATGAAGCGCAAAGCCGCGTGGGAAGACGGCCGCGAAGACCGCAAGCGCAAACGCAAAGACAAGCGCCACGACAGACAAGTCGCCCGCCGCGAAGAGCTCGCCGCCGCCGTGGCCGAGGCCGAAGCAAAAGGTCTCGACCCCTCCACCGTCACGATCCCGCCGCGCCGCAAGGTGCCCCGCGTGCCCCCGACGCAGGTGCCCGTCACCCTGATCCTCGACTGCGCGTTCGAAAAGTACATGCTCGAAAAGGAGCAGGTCTCGCTCGCGAGCCAGATCACCCGGTCCTACTCGGACAACCGCCAGTCACGGTACCGCGCGCACCTGTACGTCAGCTCGTACGGGGGCCAGCTCAAGGAGCGCTTCGAGGGCACGCTGGGCAGCCAGCACGTGCACTGGAAGGGCGTGAAGCTCGTCGAGGGCGACTTTGTCGCGGCGGCCAAGGACGCGGACGAGCTGATGAAGGGACCCCGCGGCGGAAAGATTATCGACGTGCTGAACCCCACCGAGGAAGACGGCACGCCCGCGAAGAAGCCCGCCGTGTTCAGAGACGTCATCCACGACTCGCCGAACCCGGATCCCGAACCCGAACCCGCGGACGAGCTCAAGAACATCGTCTACCTCTCCTCCGACTCGGCGAACACCCTCGACCGCCTCGAGCCCAACACGAGCTACGTTATTGGCGGCCTCGTGGACAGGAACAGGGAAAAGGGCCTGTGCCACCGCCGCGCGCGCGAGATGGGCATCCGGACGGCCAAGTTGCCCATCGGGGAGTACATGAACCTGTCGAGCCGGAGGGTCCTCGCGACGAATCACGTTGTGGAGATTATGCTCAACTGGCTCGAGACGGGCAGCTGGGCCGAGGCGTTCCTCAAGATCATCCCCAAGCGCAAGGAGGCGAAGCTCAAGGAGGAGGGCGCGGGCAGTGCCAGTGGTACACCGGCTGCTCAAGGGGAGGGCGAGGGCGAGGGTGATAATGTTGAGGATAGCAGGTTTGAGGAAGAGAATGATGAGGATGTGGATGCGAACCAGACCATCACGGAGACCGTGGCGGCACCTGTATCAACAGAGGCGGCTCAGGAGAGTGCCAAGACGGAAGTGAGTACATCATAGCCAGGCATGGCAGGCGATTTAAAAGTTGATAGAATACCCCCTCCCTTTGTTGTCTGGAATCAAAAGGACAAAACAGACCACAAACACCAACCCATTAACCAAAGGCCCCCAATCATACAAAAGTCGTGTCGATTTGCTTTCAAAATTCCATGCTGTCCTCCTCCCTTTCCCTCTTGACCTTGACGTCTCTCTCATCCTTCATCAAACCAATCACAAACGACCGGAACTGTTCCACGTACGGCTTCAGGCTCGTCTTCTCCCAATCCTGCACGCTCTTCTGCTGCGACCCGCCCCCCTCGGCATCGTCTACGTCGCCACCCTTCCACGCATCAATCTCCGCCAACAGGCTCTGCACTGTAGGCACGGCCAGCGGGTCAAAGTCCTCGAGCCTCTTGGTGTCGATCGGCACGCACACTCTGCCGGTACCGGGGTGGACAACAAAGGGCGATTTGAGCAAATGGTTCAGCTTCTTGCTGACCTCGATATCGAGGCGCGGGTACGTGTACTCGAGCACAATATCCTGCTTGGCCTCGAGCAGCGCCTTGGCGTCGAGCTTCTTGCTCGCACCGCTCTTGGCCACGGTGTCGATGTCGGCCCACTTAGCAATGGATGACCGACCCGGCGCCGCGTCCCACTTCTTGCGAAGGGATTCGTTGAGGTCCCTGTCCGGGAGGAGCTGGAGCAGACGCTCCGCGCGCTCGTTGGAGGCCCAGGGGTCTTGCGCCTCGAGGACGTCTTCTTGGAAGTGTGATTTGAGGGTATCCAGACTCCGTCTATGGCCATGTTAGTCAGTCACTCACCATGCCCAAGAATAGGATATCACTCACGAAACATGGGGATGCAGCGGCCGCCACAAATTGACCTTCTTTCCGCTCTGCGCGCCACCCTTGAGGACCTCCAAGTACCCCGCGATAGATCTACGCATCTGGTCGCCCATCGTCCGCGCCTTCTTGTCGCACACCCACGCGTGAGCACCTCTTCGACCAGAGTACACCCACATTATGTGCTTGAATCCAAAGTCGTCCCGCAGCGCAACGTCGACGACCTTGATCGCCATAGTGATGAATTGCCAGCACTTGTTGCAGATGTTGGCCTTGTCGCAGCACGTTCTGATGTCGTCGTAATCTGTCAAATCGATATCAAAGCATAGCTCTTTGGCGAGCGGCTTGAATGCGCTGGCGTTACGGAGGGTCTTGCGGTCGCGCGGGTTCGTGGTGTAGACGGGGCCGATTTCGAAACGGGAGGGCATGAGGCGAAGAACGTCTTTTCGCAGGCTGAGGCGTGAGGGGTTAGTTGCTGTCGTACTCCCAGGAGTGAACTAGAAAGGTCATAGTAGACTCACAGATCGTGGCTTGCAAAGGACTGGTATCGTAGGTATGCGTCGTTCTGTAGCGTGAAAGCGAATTCTCGATGGCCAAAGTCGTTGGTCGGTGATGGGCTGTGATTCAGCCATTGGAAGAGGTATCTCCAAGGGAATAGACGCTGATAAAAACTGCGCATCACCTCGGGATCTGAAGCCTTGAGGTCTGCGACATCTCTACACCTGGTATTAGCAACTGCCCCTCCATTCCATGTCAGACAACCCACGTTGGAGAAGGGGGCGTCAAGACCCCATCTGGACTGGATGAGGGGGCGTCTTGTGGTCTTGAACTGGGGAATTCATCGTCTGAGTCGGCGTCTGCAAACAGGTCGTCCAGCTTGACCTCGCTCTTCTCTTCGGCGGCCGGCGCAGGCGCAGGCGCCTCGGCCCCCTCCATCGCTACGTCGCCATCCGTTACCTGAGCGACATCTTCGGGAACGGTGGAATCGGCCATTGCGTCGTCGGTCATGGCGGTGGTCTGCGGTGAGTTTGCTTCTGGTGACACGGAATGAGGCATCGCTATGTCTGTGAGGGTGGGTGAAGGTGACAACTTCAAGTATCGCTCTGCTAGTATCGGTCACTTTGTCTTGGTGGGCAATTTGCCGGGGCAACTTTGCGGGCGGGCGTTGCTGGACAGGGGCGCGTCGGGGACGCGTTTTCTCGCGTAAAGAGCTGGGATGGGCCCCGTCCCCTGCTGAATGGCTTAGTCATTGGCGGAACGATCCCGACTTCACCTCCTTCCTTCCGTCTTCTCTCCTGACTTTATCTTGCCTAGATAATCAATGCCAGTATTTTTGACACTTCGGGTCAAATTCCGTTGTTGGCTTATATCTCCAGGAAGAAATATGATTTTCCAGTCTAAGGTGGTGCCCAATGTTTGACCACCATAGCCTCATTTAGACGCAGTTCACCATACCTTAAATGAGAGGAGTGGTGCCTCTACCTTGAGTGTAGCTATCTACAATCCGTCTCATTCCACTGATACTTGTAGCTCATATAAATATCCATGTCTATTCTAACCGTTATACCATGTGTATTGTACCATGAAAGGTCAATAACAAGATCCAAATAGGCAAAAGGAAAGAACGGGAGGCCGGTGATCACTTGTAACTTTCTTCACGCCCCTGCCCAGATTCGAACAGCGCGCCCCTCAGGCCAGCACGGCTTCATTGGAGTATTTGTTTTAGCTTCCCTGCGTCAGGGTGTAAACCACCCGGCCAACTGACCGGATGGGTGCTGGTGACAGGAACAGTGTTGAGGAGGTATACATAAGGTCGTCTGGGATACAACGGCAGGCGCGTCCGGGGACCTGGATACATTCACCTGAAGGCGCGCCACGCCTGCTCTTTCCACGTCAGAAACTCGTTTGCAAAGCTTTCTCCAAAGCAAAGGTCGTCAACAGTCTCAGACACTCGCTCTGGATTCATCTCTTGATGCTACCGTGCTTCCCTTCAATGACAACGCTTTGGTGAGCCTGTTTCCTAAATTTTTCGGCTTGATTTAGTCCCTCTATCCCTCAACATCCTAGGCAGTCCCTGTGCTTTACTCAGCCTACCCATTTAATTTCAGATTGCCGCAATCTCATCCCTATTGACGGTTTGACGGTTTTCATGGAACCTTAAGACCTTCACCAAGCTACCTCGTTCCACGATCGACAGCTCCATCATATGGCAAGAAAGACATTTAGTGAGAGCCTTTGACAAATTCCATGGGGGGTTATTTCAGGCTATCCCTCCGCTTCAGCATATAATTCCAATAACCCTCACTTGCCGACTGACTTCAGCGGCAACTTCGGCGTCAGAGCTCACTACAAATCCATGAAAGACTGAACCAGAGGCCGTGACACCAAGCACTTTTCTAGTTGGATCCTCATTTCTGGAAAAGCCTCACAGGTGGTTGTGGGAATACATCGCACGGTATCGGATCTAGTACTAATAGCCAACCCCATGTATACTCGACCACGAGGTGCTTACTTGGTCGAGGTGATCACGTGTCTTTTCATTCCATGATCGAGAGTGCGACGTTAGTCCAGATGACTGAGTTTAGTCAGTCCACTCGTGGGTCATATATTAATGCTGCAGACGCCGGATAGAAGGCATAAAGCCCCATACCTCATACCGTTGGGTCTCTTGAGTAAGTACAGATGTTTGGTACTTCCTTCAATGGAGGTTTGTAACATCAACGGTGCAAAGAAATCGGTTTCTTACTAGGATATCATCGGAGCATGACTTTGACGAGAAGCTGCCGTTGCAAAATTTCCCAGGACGTGTTTCATGATCCATCGCTTTCAACCCTTTGTGAACAGACACAGGAAGAGTGAACGTGAGACTTGGTGATGTGGAAGGATGCTGGCAGCTTGAGATAAATTCCAGGTGGAGGCCAGTGGCCACGAAAAACAACACCAGTTCCATATGTGTTCAAAGTCTACGGAAAGGCACGCTCGTTTTACCGTCGACTTGAGAAGTAAAATGGAGGTCCAGAAGGGAGACTTGAAGTCTCGTCAATATAATGACGAGAAAGTGAAAAGGTACGCCAGCAGAGCGCGCTCAACTAGCAAAAACTCCATGTCGGTGACAAAGATCAATCAGTACCCGTGTAACACGGAGGGCTAGGAGCGATCATGGTCAACATCGACGTCAGAGTGCCCTCTACTCGACTTGCTTCATCGAGCTCTCCTCGTCCCATAATAGTTGGCCGTGAAGCTATCTGAAAACCTCGGGTCCCACAAGCTGGTCTGCCGCATATGCTACGAGATATGATCGGGGTTGATCAGCCGCTGGCTTCTCGTGCTCATAAAGCAGGGTCAAGTTGTGGTCTGTCCTTGCAAGTCTACCTTACATGGAGGACGCAACTATCGCTCTCACCTAGATATCGCCGCCTTTGCTCACACAGGGGAAAGCCATCTACACCACAGAGAGCAAACATACCAACATCCTCAGCGCGAGGGTCCGGTAGAGGGGATGATGAAGTTCAAAATCATTGCCGTGATTCACCTTGAACTCCAAGCGTGATCCCATTAAGTCGGCAACATTGCAGGCTCTTGGGTTCCCCCCATATGGACTCAGTAGCCCCGTGCCGGAAAATCTCAGCCTCGAGTGATAATGACCTTGCTGGCAGATCTTCAGGCATCAGGTGTCCCGCGCCGGATGCTCTATCCCTCCAGTAAGCAGTGGGAAGCTCTCCAGCGACGAGATGACTTGACCGGGAGCCTCCAGAACTGGGATACCAAACAACCAATAGATTCAAGTTTCTGATGATTTCGACCCTTGGAACGGCATCTCGCCCGAAGTTGAATCTCATTGGCTGGTTGGTGTGCAGACTTTTCCCAGCTATTTCGAAATGGCAACGCCCGCAGTGCTTCAAGCTCACCTCAGACAGGTCTGGCTTACGTTTCAAAGGGATCTCCCTCCTGTATAATTGACAGGAGCGTGAAGAATATGCCTTTTGGCTGGCGATCGCCGGGTAGTTCTCGACAAGATGCCGATGTGTGAACCTCGCCTCCATGCCAGTGATGTGGAATCAAAAAGGGTCTTCAGTATTCAAGTTGTCCAGTCAATCACTGTCTCGAAAAAAACAGGCCAATCTGGAAGAAGGGCCAGAGATGATTGGTGGACTTCCACCCGGGCGATATATACCACACATGCCACGCGATAGGGCTTGAAAGGGTTCAAGGGAGGAGGCCATGGCCGGCACCTGCTGGTCTACGGCGCTACATCCGGCTGGCAGGACGGGAGCAAAAGCCATCAGCAACGCGGAGCCGGGCGCTTGCCCGCCCTCTAGCTCGAGACATTGTGTCTCGGCGCCTGGTCCCCCGCCGTGGAATGCTCGGCCACGATGTCTTCGAACCCAATCTCCCTGCACTCGTAGAGCTCGGCGATATGGCCTGATTCGATCTCGTCCCAGGCACTTGGGTCTGGCGGATGGGATGATCGACTGGAGAGGGATTCAGATCAATAATCCTGAGGGCCGCTAGATGGTCCCTGAAGAGGAAGAGGACGTGTCCAGCATGTGCCGTCCGGTGTCTCGAGAAACATGTTGTCTGAGCCCATTGCTGACTACTTGTTCAAGAACTGACCCGGTTTTGGACGAAGACGTGGAAAGGTAATCTGAATAGATGGATCCAAGCCCATCTTGAATGTCCTAGGGTCGTCTCACCTTGTAATAGTATTACAATTCATCAGAAAAACATGAATTTACTGGCCATTGCGGGAACGTTGCTGGTGTCCTCGGCTTAGCGGGCATCTGTATCTTCAGAAACATCGGATGCGGTTGGAGGCTCACCGCGCCAGCGGCTCTCTGCGCCTCGAGACGCGATCACCAACCAGCAGCTGGCGGCTGTAACGGGTGTTCGAGTGTGTGTTAGACTTCGGATCCGGCGGGTGTAGAGTGTTTTCGGAAACGCCAATGTCGATCCCCTGCTCGTAACCCCTGCCGCAGGCATCTAACGAATGGAGACGTGCGACAAGGAGAGGATGATCTCAGGCTCGCACTGCTCGGTCTGAGACCCTTCAGCTAGAAGTGCGGTACCGTACAGCAAGAGTGAGAGGCAGCCGGGAAATATCCGACTCTGTGGTTGGCTGCACAGTGTTCGAACAGAGTAGGTGTTTGCGGTGAAGCGGGCAGCCGTCGTGCCGTCAAAACGTGCTGCTGGTCCCCTGGATACTCCGTACTGCTCTACAATTTGCATCGTACGTCGTGGTAGGAATCCGCATCGTTTCGCCAATTGGGGCCAAACCCCCCAGCACCAGTGGCGGACAGTGGATTGGGCCAAGGGGTTTGACGGTGACCTCCCTCACCTGACGCTGTGAAAAATCTTACCGTCCCGCCTCATCATTTTCCCTCTTCCATCGGTCGGGAGATCTCATGGATCCTGGTCCTGGGCGCCAAGGTCACGGTGTGGATGGTGTGACCCGTGCAGAACTGGCAGCGTCCCCTCAGTTGCGTCATAATGGGGCTAGCGTCGCTGTGTAGATGGGACAGGCCGGCTTGGAGTTGTCTGCTAAACTTCAGCCTCCATCAGCAAGTGTGCCATATTTGGCCATGTTGCCGCTCGGACGCCCATGATGATGATGTTGATGATGATGGCTTCAAGGTTGATTGAAAGCTTCCTGTACTTTCATTTTAGTTGGCAACCTGAGAAGGGCAAGTTCGGCGCGAGCTGCGTCACCTCCGCCGGCCGCATGCTTTGACAGCATCCTAGTTGTCCGTTTGGCGACGTTGAACCCTTGGCGACGCCGTGGCTCCGTCCAACTTCTTGGTTTGCCGATCTTGGCGCCGGATGGAATGCTGTCCGTTTCGGAATCGGCCTGGGACCGCTGAGCCAATTCAATTATTTGTGTCCGTACGCTGAAGTATTCCGGGGACTAAGCAGTCCAATCGGCCGACACGTCCTTCGCTGGGACCCCTTGCATGGGCCAGATGGAGGGGAATGCACCGCAAGGTACGGCTGGAAAGCACGATGCCGTGTGCCCGTCTGAACTATTCGTACAGGCAGTATCTAAGCTTCCTTTGGCGAGGGATGTTTTTAGGTAGTCGGTTCAAACCGAAGCGCGGTCCCAGAAGGCCGGGTTTCGGCTGCTGTCAGTGCACGAGTCTGGTCTGCCCTATGTTGCACGCGCTGACGAGGCAGGCTTGCGCTGCGACGCCCTTTACGCAATGCCTTCTAGAAAGCAGAGAAAGGTTACCCCGGACGACATATTAGGATCAGCGAGATGCTGCTTCAAGATGGGCAGACTGCGTTACACTGTCGAGAAATTGAAGGGGACAGGACCGAAAGTGTAAAACACAGCTTTGCGTATCAGTTACCGGCGTCATTGGTTTGTAGTTGGCGAGGTCAACTTGGTATCTCGTTATCGTGTGTCTGAAAGATGCTGTGATCTCTAGACCGCAGTGGTCATTAATGTTCGAAATACACTGGCGAGAACGAACCGTCTTCAGGCGGAAGGATTGGCCGAAAAGGGACAGCGGATTGTAGGACCTATTGTCAAAGCAGCCTGGACTGCTCGTCAGATGGTGGCAGCGCGGCAAGACTCAGACGCCCGTTTAGGACGTCTTGAGCTGATCCAGTTAATCAAGGCTGGCCAATCTAGAGGCAGCCATCGCGGATCGTTGCTGTCTTGGTCCTCAGGATGATGGCTGGGCGGGTGGTGCAGTAGGCCGGTCAAGTTGCCAAATCCACCGCCCATCACACGGGCATCCACTCGATTGGCGAACAACGACTGTTGACTTGGAGCACAGTATGAAGGGTCTTCATTCCAGTTTTGTCTTTGTCCGAGAGGTTCTCCCAAACCGTTTCTCCGTCTCTCCCCGCACTACAGGAAGGACCCTTTACCGCCCAGAGTTGAGATGGCATGCATCCTAGGAGTTGGCGAGACAAGCAAGACAAGATAATTTCTGCAGCTGTCTCTGCGCTCGTTGCTCCTGTACAGGACACTCGCACAGCGCAGCAGGAATCATGTGTCGCGGAAACAGCCGGCCGTGTCCTATTGGTTGCTGCATATTTCGGATGCCAGTCCGTCTTTCGAGGTCGCCGAGCAGATGGCTTATTCGAGCACGAGATTTTCAGGCCGACAGGGTCTTTGAGAAGAAGCCATCGCGCCGTGTGGCACGCAACTTGGTGGTTGCTTGCCCGCCGGAATTGCTTTTGGAGCGCCAGTTGGCCCCCAGCGTCGGATAACCCGAGTTCCTCCTTGTCTCGGACTCCCTACTCGTGGTGTGAGGGACGACCACTGTGTGCGTGCGAGCATCTGTGTCTTCACACGCTAGGTAGGTAATGGGTATTCATCTGGATCGCCTTGAGGGTTCAGAGCAGGAGATGGAGAGTCAGGATACGATGTGTTTTTAGATCAACACGACACAAAGAGCAAGGGTCCAGAGCAGCAGTTCAAAGCTAAGGTGCCATTCCCCTACTAATGAATTGTCAGCCCGTGGTAAAAGTTAGTTCCCCTTGTAGGCAGCTTGCCAGTGCTTGCATACCTAGACCAGCAGGTCAGACCAAACCTTGGCCAGATGACTTTGCAAAGTGCACTGACAAGCTCTGTGAGTGCATGTCGTCTACGTAAGGCGCGTGTACCGTGCCTTGCAAGTTGGGACGAGTGACTCTGCTGTGGCAGACATGCTCCTAGCTCCGATGATTTTGATCTATCGAGAAGATTGAGTGTCGGAATCTGGCTTGTCTGGGTTGCATGTCGCCTATTAGCCCGAATTTTGTCGGCTAGTCGAACCGGGGAAGTCCTGACAGGTGCAACACACGACACGGTCAGAGAGACGCGGATGGTGAGAGTGTGGTGGAGACGGTAGATGAGGTCGAAGTTGGTAATACCCTATGCCAACCTGAGGCACTTAGGGGACGGGTGGCAATGACCGTATACGTGTCAGAGGATGCTATCGAAATATTCGGTGTGGTCGGTGGCGAGCCGTAGCTATCTTTGGACCACCTGTTTATGAGCACTGAGGTTGTCTGTATGTCGAAATTAGCTTGATGAACCATCGGGCGACGAGGAGGGCAAGTTGAGGTGGTGGTGGTGGTCACTGGCGGTGCCTGTTCTGTTAGTGTACTGAGGTACTCCCGGGATGGGAAAGAAGAAAAAAAAAAAAAAACAAGCGTGCATACAGGGCTCACCAAGGTACGTAGGTACGTACTAGCCACACCGTCAGGCGTCTTGCCATGTTCTGAGGACAGTATGAGGTCATTGTTTCCGACACGGATCATCTGTGGGCCCGCGCAGCCGGCAGCAACTGGGGACGTCCCAGGTGTGGGGTCGGTTGTGGACCCGAAATGGACGAATCCCAAGAGCGGAGAAAAAGGACACACTGTCACACTGTGAACAAGGGCTGATCCACGATTCGCATGTCTCTTGTCTCCATCGCAGCTTAACCACTTCCAATGCAACCACAGTTGGCACAAGGGCCACGAGCTGCGCGAACTGGGACCTCGAATTCGACAATTTGCGACTCGTCGACTGGGGCCGGGGTCCATTGACAGTCCAGGGCTGCCAGATTGCCAGTTGCCCCCCCACCCCCCTCTCCCCTCCGAAAGGTCCTTTTACCGTGTTTAATGAGGTTTCCCGGGTCGCAAATTCGCATACACAGCAGTACGGCACTAAAACCACATTCGCATTTCCCGCTTCCCACGCGCTGCTTCAGCCCTTGAGACTCAGGATTCGGAGGCTTCAGGCGTCAGGCTTCTCCCCCGTCCGTTGCCCGCCGCCCCACGGCCCAAGGTCGCTTTTCTGCTCCTGGAACCTGCCGCCCGCACCGCACCCGCGCTCCCTTCCCTTCCGCGCCGCGCAGGAAATGCAGCAGGACCAGCCGATTGAGATTGAGACAACTCGTCCGCTTGTTCCCGTTCTTTTTACGGTACCCATACCCACTGGGACGACTCGAACGAGGTATCCGTAAGGTACGGGCAGTGGGCACACGCACAGGGTCACCGTCCTCGTGCTCGCCTCTTCTCTCCACCCAACATCTCCAGTTAGACCCATTTGGCTCGAGGGTATCATCCACCATTCCCAGGACTCAGAAACTCAGACTCGAGAAGAATCAACAAATAGACAGATCAGGAACAGAATACTCACGTTGGCACTGAAGAGTCGGCGCCCTCTCTCTCTCTCTCTCTGATACATTGTGCGCGGACGTTGAAAGGATTGGCACAGGCAAAAACTTCCCTTTTTCATCAACCTCAATATCGGATCCTGCCAGGCTCAATCTCAACACTACCTTAGCACCTCGGGCTACCCCTGTCAGTCTGTTCCCGCGGCTTTCTCTTGTCCAGGGCATCACCTCGCTCGCATCTCTCATCGCCGTGATCTTTTCGAGCCGCCCCCAGTGAGTGACTGCTTCTTTGTATTGTTCAGACCGAGTCTTTACTCTTTTCCATGGCGCTCTGGGTTTCTAACTTGCGATAAGGTAGCTGGTTGAAATAGGAAAAGAAGAGTACAAGCCATCGAAGACGGCGGCGGCAGTGGCAGCGGCAGCACGAGCGCGAACGCCAGCACCACATAGCAATCCATACCGGATAACCTATCCGTCCCTTTGAACAGCGACTTGCATATGAGGCAGCGCGCTAATCACTCGTGGACACCCAACACCACCACCGCAATCTCGCTCGCACGTCAAGCCAGCACCGCACTGGTGCTGCACCGCGCATCCCAATACCATCCCACCGTGGCCGCCGCGCTGCACCTCTCGACCGAGTCGACTCTTCCCATCTGAATCTCTCCCACTTTCGGACCCCCAGACGCACACACGCACACACACGCAGGCCGCAGGCGACAGGCGCAGAAGCAGGGCAAGCAGAGCAGTCAAAAACCAAGCATATCCAGCTCCCCCCCCATTCCCTGTCGCCGCACCCAAGTCCACCACACGTCCACACCCCCTCATCCTTGCCCCCTTCCCACACCCCCGTCCGTCCCCGTCCCCGTACCTCCCTCTCCCTCGTCGGCCGGGTCCCAGTCGAGTACGAACCAGCAGTACGAAGTACCAGCAGCGCCAAAAAACCAGAACGAGCACCAAAGACGCACCAGCCAGGTCCTGCTCCACGTCGGGGCCTGCCATCCATCCATCCATCCATCCATCTAGTGCCCTGCGCCAGTTCCCAGTTTCCTAGATCTCGTCTTTTCGACTCTGCGAAACCTCAACCTCTGCTCAATCGAGGCCGGCGACCCGTTCCAACGTCTCTCACGACTGCGCCCTCCCTCGATTTCAGCGCACTATACCGAACAAAGCCTTTTGAATACACTTCGGCCGCATATCCCTCATCGAGGACTCTCTGCTGTCTTAGATCCCTTGCTATCTACTTTAGCCCCCATTCCCCCAGGCGACCGCATCCGGATACCGTCACATTGCTACGAAAGCTTCGGTGGAGATTGGCCTATTCTCACCTCACGCCCGCTCCTATTCCAAATCCTTGGACTCGTCTAGACTCTCAATCCGTTCTGCAACGACTTGTACACGAAGAATTCTTTCCGAAGCAGCGGTTGGCCTGTTCAGCAACTTGGAAACCGCTTTGAACCGACCTTTAGTCCTGTCGAGATCGCCCATCGAACGACTCAGCGACCTCCTCATCGTCGTCTGCGTCCTCTCGATTGACGCAACAGGCGCGCATCGTCTATCAATCTCTCTTCCTCGACCTCGGCGCCCATCATGCCCGAGCCCGATAATGTCGCCGCCCAAGGCGGTGGCAGCAACTCGAGCGATTTTGTAAGCCCGCAACCCATATTTGAGCTCTATCGAAATGGTGTAAATATTTTACTGACTTTCTGTGCACAGGTTCGCAAACTCTACAAGTTCGAATACCCCTCGATTTTGGCTATCAACAGCCTGCTAACAGTTGCGATAGAATGTTGGAGGATCCAGCTTATGCGAACATTGTTAGATGGGGAAACGAGGGTGACACTTTCGTCATTCTAGAGGTGCGCTGAGCTTGAAATACCGCGGTGAAATAACGGAATGGAAAGCTGACTTGCTACTGATAGACTGACAAATTCACCAATGACATCCTCCCAAAGCACTTCAAGCACAGCAACTTCTCAAGCTTCGTCCGACAGCTTAACAAGTATGACTTCCACAAGCTACGTCGCAACGACGAAAACAACGAATCGCCTTATGGGAAGCAGGTAAGGGACGAAACACCGTAGGCCGACCCTATATCGCTGACACCGCATGCAGGCGTGGGAGTTCAAGCACTCGGCTTTCCGTGCTGATAGGAAAGACAATCTTGACAATATCAGACGAAAGGCTCCAGCTCAAAGGAAAACGCAGCAGACGGAGGACCAGTTCACTACTAACCAGTCCATCAATCTGCTCCAAGAGACGCTATTCGCGCAACAACAGCAGGTGCAGGCACTGCAAGAACAAGTTGCTGAGATGGCGCGGACCAACAAGACGCTTGTCCATGAAGTCCACACCATGCACAAGATCATCGACGCCCAGCGACAGTCGCAGCACGAGATGCTCAACTTCATGTCGCATGCCGAAGACAGAATGAGGGGACAACGGTACCCTGGACAAAACCCGCAGATGAACGGAGGCGCCATGGACGATCAGCCCCCCGAGCTTCGACGCGCGAGAGAGCTTCTTTCCAGCGTAACAACCAACAGCGGGTACGATCGAGAGCTCGAGAGGCTCAATGGCATGTATGCGCAAAGCTCTCCGCCTGATTCCGCATCGTCTCTCATGTTCCAGCCTGGCAATGCTGGAATGCCACCTATGCTTCCCGAGCACATGAACATGCGCCACCTCGTCTATCCTGTAGGTGAGAACGTAGGCATCGACCCATTGTCCCAGGATCACTTCAACAATATCCCATACACGCTGAATTCTTTGCCAATGAACGACTTCCAGGCTCCACCCGTCGTTAAGCCGGAACCCGGGCCGGCAACGCCAGCTCCTGCCGCTGCTGCGCCAGCACGGCCGCCGTCGACGAACGATAAGGGTCTGTGGGGCAACAAGAAACCACGAGTGTACTTGGTCGAGGATGATAGGACGTGTTCGAGAATCGGTTCCAAGTTCCTGACCCAGATGGAGTGCATTGTCGAGCTTGCTGTGAGTCTCTTACCTTTGCTTTGCAGGCCAATCCTGGCGATACCCATAGTGTGGGATGCTGATTCGTGATAGGAAAATGGTATCGACGCCGTCAACAGATGCAAAGAGGTTCCATCTGGCCATTTCGATCTCATCTTCATGGATATCGTCATGCCGCAGATGGATGGTGTGTCCGCAACACAGCTGATTCGCGAGGTTCACCCCGACGTCCCTGTTGTCGCCATGACCTCGAATATTCGCCCCGAAGACATCAGCCACTACTTCAACTGGAGTAAGTTGTTTTAAATATCACTTGTACATGCAAACGACATGTACTAATCTTTACGTTCATCAGGCTTGAACGATGTGTTGGCCAAACCATTTACCAAGGACGGCATGCTGCGCATTCTCCGAAAGCACGTGCCGCACCTCCTCAAGAACGCGCCACCAGACGAGCTCGCCGTAGGCCACGGCGCTGCCCAGCTTCATGCCAATAACATGACGGCGCCACCGATGAACCCCCAAGTCAAGTTCGACTCCACGCCTGGCCAGTCACCAGCGACAACAGCGTCATGGCATTCGCCTGCACAGATGCATCAGCCATCACCGAACGTGACAAACATCGAGACTGGCTACCCGATGGCAAACACGGCGCAGATGGTGATGACGCCAACGTCCGCTCAGCGCCCGACGTTCCAAAATATGCCTCCTGGGATGCAACAAATGCGTGTGCCGGATCACATTGTGGGCGATGACCGACCGGAGAAGCGCCAAAGGTTATACGGACCGCAAGGCGGATACGCCTAGACGGGATTCGTGGGTGCCACTGAGCAGTCTTTTCCTTCCATTGTGCACAACGGTGTGATGACGGGATATCCTCGAGCGGGTGCTGAGCATCGTATGAAGTTGAAGAGGACGACCGCAAGCCTCCCTTGCGCGTGAATTCGCATTGCCATCCTCGAATGCTCGGGGATTGGCCCATGACAACTGTCTTATCTCAGACAGAGTAGGACGGTTGCAAAGTAGTCGATATTGCATTCCGACCATATACCCCTCAGGAAGAGCGACTGATGATGTCCCAAGAAAGGACATGTCGCGAATTGGGTATCGGCATGGGTTGGACGAATGGGGCAGAGTCGGCGACAACTATCCGACCTTGCGAGGAGAGATTTGGTGATCGGAGTTGGTGGAGTATCATGGTTCGCATTTCTGAACCCCAGGTGGTTGAAGGCGAATTTGAAAAGATATCTGCTGTCAGCTGCACGGGGCATACGTTACCCATCTTCATAAATATACCTCGCTATTTTGCTCATACTAGTGAAGAGACCTCTTGAAAGTGATGTTGATTAAGCAAGGACGAGTCGAAAAGTTGCGGGACGGCATGCTTTTGGTGATAGCAGTAGCACCGCCCCTGGTTGTATGTCAGCACGGGATACTCGGACCTGCTGCGGCGAACACGGTGCCCTATGGATAGGTAAGATGCTTGATGCTTCCGTAAGCCTCCACCGTATATAGAGGGTGCTGCTGCCTCTACCAAGACTTAGATCTCTTGGCCAGAGACGGAGCCCAGACTCAGGCTCACGCCAGATCTTAAGGGTGCTGGACCCCTCCCGATCCATGCGGGTACGGGTACGGGATAGGCGCGCAGTTGCAGTTTGCAGGCGGGAAGCTTGGGGATGGTGGTGTCTGTGTGTGGTGTTGCAGTTACGGTACGGTACGGCGGTACACCCCGCATGGGTTGGGAGAGGGGCAGACGGGATGGGATGGTCGATGGGCGAGGTCTAGGCCCGGCCGTGTGGCGCCCGGGTGGTCTGATGTGCCGGGGTCCCTGCCAAGGAGGTCCGGAACGGTCTGGAACTTTTCTTTGGGTCTGCGTATCCTCCGCAACAGAACTGCGTATTCCCGCGAATCCACCCGTCCTCGAAGGGCCCAGATGAGTTTCGTCTGAAGGGTTACCGCGGTTCACTGCTGCGGCTGGCCCACACCGTGACCGTTGGAATTCTTTGCTCCTCTTTCTTGTGTGATTTTGGGTGGGCGGGTTTCCGGAGATTCGGCCGGGGGGTAGTGGTGGTCGTCATTGGTGGTGAAAGTCGTCGGTTCGTAGGGCTGGTTGGGGTTTTCTGAGCTCCACGGGGGTTGTCGATCTGTCCACTGTGTTGTTCCATCAATTTCGCATCATGGCTATGAAGTTCTGAAGATGCGACGCGTGGGAGAAAGCGATCACACGGGTGGATCTCGAAGCGAGGTTCAGAACAACATCTGGTGAGATGATCCGGGAGATCGGCGGATGTTGGGGGCGGCGGGGAAAAGAATGATCGATCAGCGATCAATTTCTGGGGGTTTGACGTCGATAGAAGGTTGAAAAGAGGAAACAGAAGGGGGAAAAGGTAGGTATGCGAGAGAAAGCGATGCGTCTGATGTGGGAAGCCACGAGAGTTTATGTCTCCTGCAGGTTCTATCCGTACCATCCAGCCCATCGTACCTTGGACGACAAGATGGGATGGGATTGGGATGGGACGGGACGGGAGGGGGGGCTGGCGCTCGTTGGCTGGCCGGCAGCATGGGCCAGACTGGACCTCTTGTTTGTGTAAGCGGGCTTGTGCTTTTTGAGCGTCCGAGGCCCGTTGATGGAAAGTCCTGGCCAGAATCAGCCAGACCAGCCCATGACGGGGTCTATGATGAGCCCAGACTCCACGAGGTGCTGCTTTGCTGACGTCTGAATTTCCTTTGGCCGCTAGGGTAAGGTAGGTTTACTCGTTTGGCTGCGAGCCGGAACCCCGACCAGAACGAGATGAGACGAGACCAAGACTCTTCGAGAAAGGACGGGGATTCAGGGAAACGGACCTAGAGCAAGGTAAGCAGGTGGGTGAAAGGGTAGCGCCGGGTTCTTGGCATGTTGCTCGAATTGAAGGAAATTTGACATGGAACCAGAACGGGGAGTTTCCGTTTGTGACTTTCGTATAAGGTAGATAGATACGTGAGACTTTGCGCTGGTACGAATTATGGTTTTGTGACTTGCGGTTAGCGGGGAGAAGGATGAAGTTTCGAGGCTAGTCTGGTCTCCATTTCTGGATAGCGATTTCTTACCGATTGAACAGACAAGCGTGGATAACCTAGCGTTCTAATCAAACGGGATTTTGAGTAACAGCACGGCAAGCGATGAGAGGCAAGGCGACCCGCACCAAACGGTTCATTGCCAATGAACAAACCACCGTAATCCGGTAAACCCGCGACGGCAAGGGCATCGTGTCTATACTGTGCTACTGTTAAGTTTTTTTTTTCTGCATCCTGCAAAGGCATGGATGGGGATGGGGATGGGGGGGCAGGGCACAAGGAAGAAAAGAATGGTTTCGTTACAAGGGAGGGGGGGATGCTGCTTTCCTGCAGGGTGCGGCTAAGTGTGGGCGAGATTGCGGTCCATGTGACGGAGGTGGTGTGAGTTTCTGGGTTGTTGCACACACACATGCAGATACGCAGACACACACTTACACGCACTTCCAATGTATGCGAACCGCCTTCCACGGGAACTTGCAGCGGCCTGGGCCCAGCCCTTTTTCTTCTTGTCGGATCGGTCTAGACCTTTTCTTCTTATTCTTTTTTTGGTCTAATGCGGGGCGGAGGATTTGTTGTCATGTTCTCGCTGTTGCTTCTTGTGGTTTCCTGGGGCCGGGGTTATGTTGGAGTGCTGGGTACCTTATGGTGAGGGTGACTCGTATTGTAGGTAGAGAGAACGTAGCAAAAAGGGCGCCAAAACCAAGAGAACCAGTTTCTTGGAAAAGTCGATGCCGAGTAGAGGGAACAAGATTGGATAGGCTTAGACACGTTTGCCTAGAACCTATGCCGTCGTTCGTCGTCTTGGCGCAGATGTAGCATACTGGCGATGGTTTTCTGAGATGTGATGGAGGATTAGAAAATGCTTATGTAGTGGGCCTCGGGCCGGGGTGGTGTCTTCCCACAGTCCCAATCTCGGGGGTTCCCTCTGCCAACCTATCTAATTTAGGTCTGTTCGGGGTTCTTGTACTTCCCAGGCTTTCGTCAATATTTTGTGCCAAGCAAAGGGGTGAACTGAACGTGTTCCAGGCCAAGAAAACGTACCCAGCCGCAGACTCACTCCGAATACCAGCCGGCCGGTGCTGCCCTTTTTTTGTCCCACCTAAACAAGCTCGTGGGGGATGGGTTTTGGGCGATCACTCAAGTGTCTTGTGTTTGAGGCTGGCTGGATAGCCCAGGTGATTTAGCCCCTGGAGAGCCGGAGAAATCTCCGTGGCGATCTCTTGCCGGCCTCTTTCACTTCCTTCGTGGACCTGTGAGAGCGAATATGCTGACTCGAACTTACAATACAGCCTATGTGGGCTCTGTGGGCGTCAGATTCTACATTACCCATGCGAATGGCAGGGTTGAGGAAGGGGGACATCCGGTACTATGGTACAGCATCCCATTTGTCACATACACTCAATATCTCTCCATATCATTAAAAGACATTTCGGTCCTGAAAACTGACGGCTTGTGTCTTGCCTGCTCGCCTCGGTGCCTATTGCCATCTGGGTCTTCCAACGGACTTCTCCCAAGTCTTCCGCCAGCCACGTGAGGGTTTAGAGAGTGCGGGAACCTAATTGATAAGAAATAAAAAGTAGGCACTCCGGTTCGAAATGAGAAGCAAGGAAAAAGCAAGGAAATGAATGCCCTAGAGATGAAAGACTCATCGATGACCTGATTGTCTAGCCTAAATGAGCATGGCATTTTCCAAGCCATACGGGTCTCTCGGTGACAGTTTACGAGACAGGTGTCAGTCACTCACAAGAAATCGTGTATTGTCACTACCTACCTCCCGAAACGCCTCGGCCCCCATTAGTGAGCAGGTATTGGAAACATAACGTCTTCCGTTCTGCACCTGCACGTGTAAACGTGATGTGGACGTTTGGTATTTGATCATAGTGAAGAGAGCCGGTTTCGTCTAATCAGAGGCATGTTGTGTAACATCTTGGGGATTGCTTCGCCATCAACTGGTTTTGTAGGCAAGCAGAAAATCGTGAAGTTCCGGCGGAGAAGCATGCGAATGGATCAAGTTTCGCATTTTGACTGCTGGCCGCCTGTCTCTGGGTTGCGCCAAGGTAGTCCAAACGTTTCTCTCTCCGGAGTCAAGACTCAAGAGGACCGTTGTAGAAGACCTCTACTTTGACATATGCTACACAACTTTTGCATCGAAAGGAGGTGGCTCGAAAAAAGACAACATGAGGATAGACCAGGCCATCTGCAGGTCGCTTGTAACACGGCCGTATCGAAAGTCAGACTGCATAGACCGCTCTAGATCTTACATCATGGACAAGCACCTGTAGGCAACTCTTGATCTTTTGGCGCTTCCGTTCCCTTGTAAGATGACTTGCTAGATACCCTACGAGTTTTTGATGCTCCTCTAGTCTGTTACTCGTATCAGTATGTCTCAATGCGACCCCAAACTCTCTTCTGGTTCTGCATCTAAGGAATCTAAGTCTTGCCGTCATGCAGATTCTCATCCTTCCAGATTTGAGGCTGCCACAAGCCATCGATCCAGGGTCTGGGAATTTATGATAATTTAACCATCGACGACTCCATTTAGCCCCAAGAAAGAAGAAAAACTCAATCAAAGAACATGCGATTCTCAAACCTGCGTTAGGGGTTTCCCATATCATCTGACGGTCGTAGAGCCTAAAGTCTCGGCTAGAACGAATACGTACGGGTAAGATACCCATGGGGGGAAAACAAAAGGGAGGACTCCAGTCAAAAAACAGACTAGCCTCGTACACAAAGCAAGCATGCAGTATCATGCACGTCTTCGGAGGTGAGGTTGGCGTAACCAGAGCCAATCACACAAAGCCGCTTAGTTCCAATCAACTTTCTCCCTTTGGTGTAACGGTCTGGACCGCCAAGGCCCAACCCCCAATGCTTGGGAAACAAGAACTTGTCAGCCGTTTCAACGTGCCACTGCCGTGGACCATTTCCCTTTCTTACCATGCTGCATGCATCAGCCGCAAAAAGTAGGCAGGCCTCGGCATGCTGTGGCGTTTTACTTTGTTTGGTATGTTGACGTGCTGGGTCAAGGGGTCCAGATCTTGGCCTTCGGGTGGTTTACTCCGGGATCTGGGGTTTTAAATCCGTGTAAGTGGTCTGATTTTTGGATGCGAGGAGAACCCATGCGTGGTGGAAAGAGTATGAAGAGGGATGAAATATTTGAAAGAGACGGGTCAAAATCTCGTCGGACGGCCTTCTACCTATCTCGCTGGATGCAGTCTGGGCCTTGCGGCGCCGGGAAAGTGGCTAGCTGTATCATAGTTTTACAGATTTCTCAAATTCTCTCCTATTCAAAGTACAGCTGCCTGAAATGCAGTGTGAATTTTTTCACACAGTTGCTTGCAGGTTCCTATGATCTATTCCCTGTGTCTGTGTCTCAACGTGTTGCGTATTTTCCGGTAGCTCTTGGTGGCCTCCTTCAAAACCATCGTTGCTAAAGCACCACCATGACCACCAACCTCTCTGCTTTCACGGGCTGTCTGAATGTACTCGTCTCTCTCTTGTCCATGCTCTCCAACATTAACAACGATTCTAGCGTATTTGATGAGGATTGCGTTGAGAATGAGCCGGCACATGCGCCCGTTACCATCTCGGAATGGATGAATGTTGACGAACCGATCGCAGTACTGTGCAGCTGTTGCAAAAGGATCGAGTGATTGAGATTTTTCAGACGCTATCAAGTGCTGTTGAAGGTTCAGGATCATCGAGCTCATGGCCTCGGAGATCTTGTTCGGGCGGATAAATCTGGTAGTGCCCACGAAAACGTCTTCGGCGCGGTAAATACCACCAAACTCTCTGCTACTGAGTATGCCAGCAGCTTCACCACTGACACCTTTGACGAGTATAGCGTGTGTGTCTTTAATCAGTTGCTCGGTCATTGGCTTTCCTTCACGGACGAACTGATTGATGATATGTTGAAATGCAGCAGCATGCTGAACGACCTCCCTCCGGCTTCGCAGAACCTGGTGCTCGCCAGGAGGTACGTCTTTCCGTACTAGAGCTTCAAGCCGAGCCTGATACTCTTCTGTTCTATAGGATGTCTTAGCAAAATGTCTTCAAGATAGTGGAAGTTGTACTTTTACTTACCGCTCGGTGTACTCCACGCCTGCATTGCCTTCAAATATCATCATGCAAAGTTTCATGGTGATATCAAGGCCCAAGCCCTTTCTGGACTTGACATTGGAGGGGTAAACCGCCTCTGCCATCTGTTGCAGGAGAAAACTGGCGATATCGTCTCCTCCATTTTTTGCTTTCCCCAAGATCTCTTTCACCTCGTCCATGATGCTGGTAACAACGGTGAAATGCTCAGAAACGTCGACAGGTTGATCTTCAACCTTGGGTTCCATAGCCCAATTGTCTCCATAAACACGGTAAAGATCACTCATCCTCAGAGTAAGGTTTGGATTTCTGCAAACAAAATTTAGAAATTGCATCTCCAGCAATCCAATTTCCGATGGTACTTACTTTGGCTGAGAAGAGGAGCTGCTTGACTTCAAGGTCTGATTGCCTCTGATGGTAGGCGGCCAGCTGTATCGGAAAGCCCCACGAAGCAGTGATTTCTTGACGCTTGAGCTTGATGTTGACGATCGAAGAACTTCAAGAGAACGGATAGCTTCAGCTCTAGACTTCTTCGTCGGGGATTCAGGTTCAAGCGAAGAGCCGCCCTTCTCATCTTCGCCCAAGCTCATGTCCCCGAAATATCCAATGATGGATTTTCGTTTGGGAGTGCGGACAGTGCTAGGGCTCTGAGGAGAGCCGGGAGTCTCTGGAGTCGATGCCATGGTGCTTATTGTTTTGAAAGGTAGTCTGGGGAGTAATCGAATGGCAAATTTCACTTTCGTGGCGGAGTAATGTGGTCTTATATATGCATTGTCTACGGACTACGTAACATATTTAAACTCAACTGATTCACTATGTGCTACTGATTCAGTGCAAAGAATTCGGGTCAAGTGATCATTAGATTTCAGTCTCTGATGAAGAGCCTCGTCTTGAAAAGGTGTAGCGCATGATTGAGTGATTCACTCTCTTACATATTTTCTGTGAACCACTACTTCGCACGATGTCCCGCTTATCAAGATTGAAATATTCCCCTCGGTATTACTCCAGTAAGTAGAAGCTAGAAAAAAGTAAGATGAAGGATTCACAATACAGGACCGCCGGGTACTGACTTATTCACGAAATTTGCGTTGAAAAACGAGCAAAGCACACGAGAATCCTTCTTAGCCTTATCGAATATTAATTTCGGGCACCTTGAGGACCATCCTTTACCGTGAATTCAGAGAAGTATGGGATGGTTTGTCACCTTCTTAATACGTATCTCCGAAAGGTTGAAATCTCTCTCGTCTTCTGAGTTTCCATCAAAACTACATAAAGTCGACCATCCCCCTAGACTCCTGCACAATCTCAATCAACTTCCCACCCTCACACAAGGCTTACGTCTCTCACTCCAACTTTGATACAACTCAACTATCACACCATCGGTCCACTCATATCGCTCAACAACAAAATGGCGACTTCCAGTATTCGTTTCTTGGTTCTGTCGGATACTCACGACTCCGCCTTCCCATGGGACCTCCCTCCGGCAGATGTAGTCCTCCACTGTGGCGATCTAACTATGATCGGCGGCATGTCGAACTACAAAGCTGCCATCAAAAGCCTTTCGAGTTGCGATGCTGAACTCAAGCTCGTAATTCCAGGAAACCACGATGTATCTCTGGATCCCACATGGTGGGCCAATAATGCAGATGAAGACGACGATCTCGAGGAGCCAAAGAAAGCTATCGATTTGTTCAGCCAATCCGAAGTTAATCTCTTGAGCGAAGGATACCATTCATTCACTCTCAAGGACGGGCGTTCCTTCACTCTATATGCCTCGCCTTACACACCCGAGTTCAACGGATACGCATTCTCATACGCTGCGAACGAAGACAGATTCAACCCGGCCGAATCAGACCTGGGCCAAGTGGTTTGCGGCCCGAAGCCGATCTCCTCGGAAGTCGATATTCTGATTACGCACGGCCCACCGCAGGTCCCAGGCGGAGACTACCGCCTCGATCTCGACGGCAAGGGCGCCCATTGCGGCTGCCCAAAATTGTGGAAGGCTGTCCAACGGATTCGCCCACGACTCCACTGCTTCGGCCATCTCCACGAGGGCTACGGATCCCAAGTCGTTGAATGGCATGCCAACGGGACGCAAAGCGTTGCACCCGTCATCAAGGAGAGGAATATCATCAAGGCGCCAAAGAAGGAGGCACGCAAGACATTACTCGTCAATGCAGCAATCATGGATCACCACGGCGAAAACAACAAACCCTGGTTGGTGGACTACTAGGCATGCAGTGAGCTTGTGTTGTCTGGATGGGGTCTGGAGTTTCAGATAAGCAGCTTTATAGTAGCTGAAGGAGATACGCAAAAGATGGTGCTGAGGTCTTTGGTCTTTGGTCTTTGGTCTGGTCTTTGGGATTATCCCACCTCGAATAAACACGGCTTCGTTTCGGTTTCGCTGACTCCGTCGGATAATGGGCTAGATACTCTACTTCATGATATCTTATTCATCATGACAGTCAGGACTACACTATACCCAAGTGGATTTCCTGGATGTCTTGGAACCGTTAATAAACTCATTCATGGAGCTCCAGCAATCATAGATACGCATTCTTCATGTATAAAAGTCCGTGCAAACTCCACCATGAGTCCGTAATAAGTCTATGGTAATTCCCTCAATATCGTACCATTTCATACCCAAGGAAGTCCAGACTCATCCGCCTTCCTATCGTCAGACTTTTAGTCGTCATAAATAGGAGAATTTGATTTGCCATAAGCTCTCGCCAGGTTGACCACCCATTCGAGCTCACTATCGGCCCCATCCAGCCATTGGCATGATCTACCACAAGTTTATTTTGTCAGCCTTGCCAATTCTTGCTCTTGTGTGTGTCCCAGCTGTGGGCAACATAGAACAGCTATTGACTCGAAAACATAGCTATCCGCCCAAACGATAACTCACTTAACACACACACGCACCCTGAAACCAATATATACACTATACTTCACCCTCCCAAAAGTCATAAGGAAAATGCGCGCAGCGCAAGGGTTCTCAAACAGAACTTTATCAAGCTACTCCAATACGTACTTGAGTTTGAGAATAAGTTTGTATACAATTGATACGCCTGCCTTATTATTCTTCATATTTCACGCATAATTCGAGAAGTAATCATCCACAAATGATGAATAGTCAATATAATATGAATTCTTTATTCCCTTTAGCCTTGTCTGGTATTTAGCGAGTTCATTTCAATTGTACAAATTTGAAAAGCTTTCGTCACGGTGGGAATGTGTGCCATAGTGAACAGTAGAAATTAAAACATCAGCTGAATCATACGACTATATGCCACCGTGTTATCTGGTAGTATCATACCTTAGTTTAGAGACGAGTTTGTTGCAACGTAATATTCGGTGAAGCTCCTCACCGAGACAGACCGAGAGAGGGTTACCGCACGGCCCACCCCGCCTCGGAGCCGTTGAGTCACTCACCTTAAATTTCCAACTCCCAAGCTTGCGACCGGGCTTTGACTCACCACCCCGCGACCAACACAATAAATCCCCCCAAAGCGCCCACCCACGCCCTTGCGATCCACCTTAGCATACGATGTCGCAGCAAAAGGGAAAGGCCGCCGCTGGCAAAGGCAAGAAGTCCGGCAAGGCTGGAGGTGAGGGCAAGCGCGAGGATGTCCTGCAGGCTGTGGTAAGTATGAAGCGTCATGGTGGGGCAGGCACGGTGATGGGTGTTGAATTGGCTAACCTGGTGGCTTTCCTTTTCGCCCATTGCAGCTCATCGCCGACTCCTTTCAAGATAGATTTGCTCCCTTTTCAGCAGAGAAGCCAAGAGTAAGTCATGATATATGTCCCGGAGCTATGCGACGACGACTAACCGCCCGCCCGCAGTGCCTTCTACCCCTTGCAAACACGCCCCTCATCGAGTATACCCTCGAGTTCCTCGCCATGAACGGCGTCCAGGAGGTCTACATCTACTGCGGTTCCCATTCCGAACAGATCGAGAACTACATCAACACATCAAGATGGTCCCCTATGTCCATTCGAACTCCATTTACGAGCCTGCAGTTCATCCGTGTATCCGACGCCCGCTCAATCGGCGACTTCCTCCGTGACCTTGACGGACGCGGCATTATGGACGGCGACTTCATCGTGGTCCACGGCGACGTGGTATCCAACATCTCACTTGACGGCGCGCTGGCGGCACACAAGGCGCGCAAGGAGGCCGCAGCGACGAATATCATGACAGTGGTCCTGCGATCAGGCGGCGCGGAGGAGCACAGAACGAAGCCCAACGGAATCAACCCCGTCTTCGTGATCGACTCAAAGACGAAGCGGTGCCTACACTACGACGAGATACATCCCCTCCAGAGCGACCACTACCTCAGCCTCGACCCGGCCGTGATCGACGAGCTCTCCACCGACTTTGAGATGCGGGGCGACCTGATCGATGCGGGTATCGATATCTGCACTCCCGAAGTGCTGGCGCTGTGGTCCGAGAGTTTCGACTACGAGCTCCCGAGGCGGAACTTTCTGCACGGTGTCCTAAAAGATTGGGAGCTGAACGGCAAGGCGATCTACGCAGAGGTCCTCGATGACGGCTACGCAGCACGCGCGAGCAACCTCCAAATGTACGAGTCAATCAGCAAAGATGTCCTCGGCCGTTGGACATTCCCCTTCGTTCCCGACTGCAATGTCATTCCTGGTCAGACGTACAAGATGACCAGCGGTGCAGTCTGCGTCGAGGACGGAACGGTGATGGCACCGACCAGCAAGATCGCCAGGTCAATCCTCGGCCAAGGAGCCACCGTGGGCGCCGGCAGCACGGTATCAAACAGCATCATCGGCAGGCGGTGCAAGATCGGCAACAACGTCCGCATCGAAAACAGCTTCATCTGGGACGACGCCGTAATCGAAGATGATGCGGTCATCACGCGCTCCATCCTAGCCGACTCAAGCATCGTGGGCAAGGGCTCGGTCGTCGCTGCCGGCTCCCTCCTCTCCTTTGGTGTTGTCCTCAGCGACAACAGCAAGATTCCCGAGGCCACCGTCCTCGCAGTCACCACACACAACGGCACGCCCGTCAATCCCGACAAGTCACTCGTCGGGCCCTCAGGCAAGGGCGCCCCTTACATCGACCCAGAGGCCGAGGACATCGACGACGAGGACCCTTCCACCCTTCAGCGCTCTCTCCTCTACAACCTCGCCCACCTCAACCTCTCCACCTCAACAGTCTCAACCCTCTCCTCCGACATCGATGATGACGACTCAGACGCCGGCGATGGCATCACCCAATTCTCCGCCGACTCCCGCAACCGCGCCGACTCGTTCGTCTCAGACGATTCCCAAGGCAAGTCGGGCTTCCACCACGACGCAGTCCACGGCCTCCTCGACGCCCTCCGCGCCGAATCAGGCGACTTCGACTCCGCCAAGCTCGAGTTCATGGGTCTCCGCCTCGCCAACGACGCCTCGGACGTGGCCATGCGTAAGGCTGTCGCCATTGCCTTTGCTCGCCGTGCCGCAGAGCTCCTCGACCCCGAACACGGCGGCCTCGAGCCCGCAAAGGCCGCCGACAAAGCCTTCAACTCGAACAAGGGCGCCTCAAAGTTCGTATCCGAGGTCGGCGTCGGCGGTGGCGAGACGGAGCAGGTCGAGTTCGTCCTCGCGCTGCAGCGCGCTCTGCTCGGGTGCCGGAATCTGGAACACGCGCGCGCCGGCGTGTTGCTCGCCGCCATGCTGCAGCAGCTGTACGGCTTGGACGTTCTCGAGGAGGAGGGCATCCTGGCCTGGTGGGAGGACGAGCGCGCCGAGGAGGGCGGGGGCGAGGGCATGGCGGCGCTCAAGGAGAAGTGCCGCGTTCTCGTCGAGTGGTTGGAGGATGCTGACGAGGAGGACGACGATGATTCGGAAGAGGATGACGACTAGGTGTTGGCATCTCGGACTGCGTCTCGGGAGTTGTGATTAGGCAAGTGCAGGAAGGAGAGAGAGAGGAGACAGAGAGAGACAGAGGAAGAAAACGGACTCGAACCATCAATGGGTCTCATATGCCTGGCGTAGAGAGTGGATGGCTTGCATAACGCAGTAGTACACTGCAGCGGACTCGCAAGCAGGGTCCAGGACTTGGCCAAAAAGTTATGGTAGAATAAGAATCAAAGAATACGTTAAACAATGAAGTCTCATAGACCAAGCATCATGGGCACGTCAGAGATGGCGGAAAGAGCTTGAAATGACCTGCTTGTATTGCAAGGCGACTAAAAAAGGTATCATATCAAAAAGCATAAAGCCCTCCAAAAACGCCGAGCTGAAACCTGGCCCAGAAAGATGTGAAAACTCCGGCCCCATCCATCACCGTGTGATACCCCCGACTTTTTGTTTCTTTTTCTCGAACATACAGCAGAACTTAGAAGGTCGGCCGTCCCCGTTTACGCGGCGAATGACAAAGCTTACGATCCCCAAGAACTGGATAGAAGCTTGTTCTTGAACCGCCGCCCCAAAACAGTTGCTAAGCAAGCTCATCTCCGAGAGCTGTCCTTCTAGTAGTAGCTCTGGAGATCGTTGCTGTTGCCAGCGCTTCCACCACCTCCGTAGTTACCGCCACCGCCGCCGCCGCCCATGGGACGACCAGCTGGGCCCGTCGGGGCGTTCGGCGGAGGACCCGAGTTCCACGCGCTAAGTGGAGGTTGGTACTGTTGCTGTTGACCCCCTTGGAAGCCGCCTTGCTGCTGCGCCGGGAGGGACGGGTAGCTGTTATCATCATACTCGACAGTTTGTCCGTATCCTCCCTGCTGGTTTCGGGGCTCGACGTCGTCGAGGGAGCGGTAGCCGTGCATGCCACGTCCGCCGCGGCCGCCCTTACCATTGCCACGGCCTCTGCCACCTCTTCCTGCACCGCCGCGGAAACCACCACCACCACCACCACCACCACGGCCACCGCCTCCACGTCCGGAATGGAAATCGCGGCGCTCGTTGCGGCCGTTGTAGGGGTTGTGTCGGTGGTGGTCGCGTGAATAGTCGCCGCCGTCGTGTTTCCGCTTAGAAGACTTGTTGGCGAAGAGTGATTCATACTCGTCTTCGCGGGGGTCCTCTGGCTCGATGCGCAGGATCATCTTCTCTCCGACCGTTGTCTCAAAGGTCATTGCCTTATCGGCGGGAATAGGTTGCCAGTTTTGGATCTTACCGGCATCCACGGGGCGGGCACCCTTGCGGAGGGCGAGAACAACGAGAGGCGACGGGTTATCCGTGTGGAACTTCGCGGTGGCGGGAACGGGTCGGAGGCTCGCTGCCCAGATGCTATTCTCAAAGCATGCTGTGCCTGTGACCTCCCACTTCATCTTGCTGCCCATACCTCCAACCTTTTCCAGGATGCTGGCCGGGCAAGGACGAGGGCAGATGAGAATATTGTTGGCGTGGAACTTGAGCTCCTGCTCGGGCAATCCAGAGGGGATCGGGGCCATCTTCATCAACTGCGCCGTGTCTTCCTTGCTGATCAAGTAGCCTGTGAAATAGACAGTCTTCTTGATCCTCAGTCGTTGCGGGCGAACGTCGGACGATTGTTTTCCAATTTCCTCGTTGTGGAGGTTGATCATATGCTGAACCTCAGCAACCTCAACCACGGGGTCCAGGGTTGTTGACATGTCCGCGACTTGGACGACCTCCGCCGTGATGGGACCGCGTGTGCGAGTAGCATTAATGTTCTGCTTGCGGTTATACTCGGTCATGAAGTCTCTGAATCCCTTGACGTGTTTCGGACGGTCCTCGTAGATGCGGATTTCTTCGGCGTTCTTGTACGTCTCCATGACCGCGGTGAGGAAGAGCTGCTTAAAGTGCATCGTGCTCGAAAAATTCTGGTTCGTCGGGCTGACGGCAGGCTTGAGTCCAACCATGTCGAATTCGAGTCCCTTGCTGTGAATCATCCTCTTGATGAGCTCCCCGAAGCCTCGCTCGGAGCGGCCCGTCAGCAGCACGCACAGAGCGTCCTTTTGCTTGACGCTCAGCTTCACCAGCTCGACAATCTTCTCATTCCACCAGCCTTCCCACGCGCGCTTCTCCTCGGTGTCGGCGCCCTCGCCCGTCGCTGCGAGGATTCGGGAGTCGTGCCACCAGCCGCCGTTGCAGATGACGTCTTGACTTGACAGCACGCCGATCGTAGGGCCGCTCCATAATGCGGGGTTCGGCAAGGGAGTTTTGAAGACTATGGATGTCGGACGGCGTTAGTTTTGGGTTCAGGAAATTGGCGAAGCAATCACGCAACGCGGCAGTGTAGGAAGGGCATCCTTACGTGTGTTGTCAAAGTCGTAGATGTGCAGAGCCTTGATCTTATCGACGGCGGGTAGCTGCGTCGTCGCGATGCTCCATCTGCTCAATGCAGTCGTCGTCGCAGAGGATGTCGAGTAGGCCGCCTTAGCAGAGCCATTGGCGTATGCGGACGTCATGACTCGGCGGGTGAATCTGGAAGCTGCCAACATGAATGTTGACCAGACTTCGAAATTCCGAGAGAGGTGGGAATTGTTCAAAGAGCGGGTCGTCGATAGAGTCGCGAGCGCGCAGAACCAGGGCAGTGGCTAGGGGACTCGAGCTTTGCTACAGTGGTAGGTGCGACCGCGGCTTGTGCCAGTAGGAAGTTTTCCCTCCGTTGGCTTTGTGGGGCTGGCCCGTCGTTAGGGGAGGCAAGTCCCTGAAGAGCCCTGCTACCTGTTTGGGCTTTCTGTGGCAGCTCCCGTTATTCGAGGTAGCTACTGCTTATGTCATGAGATGATGGGCTGATTAGATAAGCACTTTCCACGACTCTGGATGAGAAGCGGCCTTGACGGCTTCCAATCAGCATCATAAAAATGATGAATAAAGAGTAAATCGGATTTAGAGCAGAAAATTGTATGGTAGACGATCGAAATCTCTTCTTTTCACGAATACTCATCAGGAGCAAAAGTCAGCGTTACTACCTAAGGTGCATCTGGACGTCTTGTTCCACGTACACTGTGGCACGGATGGCTTCAATGCCGTCCTCCCGCCCCACATCCGGTTCCGAAGTGTGGCGAAGTGGAGAAATCAGAGCCGGTGAACGGTCCGGTACTTCCCCTCGGTCAAGGCAGTTTCGCCTCCTTTTCCAGTCTGACGGCAAGTTTCTGGAAGAAAGTTATGATGGAAAGGTACTTGAAATTGTGTGTGGTTGGGTCAGCAGGGTAAGTGCTATGGTGAAAGCTGTTGCTGCTGAATAGTGCACTTATCATTTAATGCGATAACTCTGCTTTTCTCCCGAAAAATGCTGGCAATGAGTACCATGCTTGACATCTATCAAGGGTAGAACTTCATGACTGGTGTTGAGTGTGACCGTTAATTCGTAGTGTAATGTTACCAATCTAAGTACCACGGTAGGAGCTGTGTAGCAACACTGCCTCCAGTTTGTCAAGGCTTGCCTACTCAACATGGAAAACAATTGGTTTCACGAATGGGACACCAATTGACAGATAACAGTTTCTCTTCTTTTCTTATTTTTTTGCAGTCTCGGCTGAACCAAACCCTGGTCAGATTCGTGCCTCTTACCAGCACTTGCTTCCGCTGAACCACCGTAAGGCGAGGCCTGCCAACAACTATTTCGTCAACTTCAGGGTTTTCGTATCCATCGTCCTCTTCTCTCGGCGTCTCTTCCCTTGCCATCCACGCCTCCCTGGATATCATCTTCCTTCCCAAATTCTTCCGTCTTTGGTGCTCTCTCGCGAATCCTGTGTTCTCGTTCCCAAGCGAACATACAGAGGCCAAATTCCTGGCGTGCAAGTTCCAAACATCGACGACTCCCAACATAAGGAAAACATGTTTTGAGGACATACAGGCCCCTTTCGTCCATAAAATATCGGACATTGTGAACAGGAAAAAGTAAAACGATAAAAAAGCAAAATCGGGGAGATTTCCCGTACCATAACGCCGAAGAAGTAACCAAGTGCCTTTCCCATGGGTATTCCATGCCGCCTTTTTTGGCCCGACCGATGCAATGCGTACTCTAAAAAGTCATGCTCATGAACCAGCCAGGGTCCCTTCATCATATCATACCACTTCTGCTTGTCCTTCCTTTGGACGCTTCTTCCTCATTACTTCCATCAATGCTTCGTGTCAAAATACACGTTGTGGTATGCCGACTACAATGTCGGATCAATGGCGCCAGTGTCGGACTGCTCACCAAAGTCAAGAAAGGCGTCCCAATTGTCACTAACGGGGCCTGGGGTTGCATCATCGCTTCTGGGCTCTTCAAACCGAGACGCATAAGGGTTCACGTGTCCGTTGAAGTACTCGTGCGAAGAAAGCGTAAGCTCATTCAAGTGCTGCTCATGTTTCAGGTCGGCCATCGAATGAGTGTCTGGGTAGTACATCTGCTGCTGTAACGGATTGCCCATGAACATTTGAGCCATCGGATCGTTCATGTCCAAGTTGGGTACCATCATCTTCGCATCCATAGGCAGCTCAGCGGTGAAGGATGACTCAGGGGAAAAGAGGCTGTGATCGATTGTCGTCATGGGCGAAGGGAAAGTCGAGGCTGTTCTCGTCGAGGGGGTGCCGGCCGCAGCGTCTGATGACGGCGACAAAGCTGGCGGCGACTGAGGGTGATCACGCGCTACCGGTGTGGCCATGTCCATGGGCGACGCCACTGACTGTGTTCTCTGGCGCTGGTATCGCTGGGTCTCGGGCTGGAAGTTTACTGACGAGAAGGTTGGTGATATGGGGCTAGTAACCGCGTTTTCGGGCTGAGTGGGCTGCGACAGCGACATGGAACGTTGCCCGGGGACGGAGTACATTGAGTTCGTAATGTTACGAGACAATGCCTGTGCTTGCTTGTTGGCGTTGGGGAACTGTTCGGCAAACATCTTGTTGATTGGGTTTTGAGCCCATTCCTCGTTGCGGAGCCCAGCCACCATGCTCGCCATGGCTACTCTGTTAGCCAAAAAGGCATTGACACGGTAGTCGAACTCTGGGGAACCGGTCTGAAGATGAGCAGCCAGCATGCGGTAGGAGCGGGGCATGTCGTCCTCCTCCTCTTCGTACATTTCCTCCGCCTGCACAATCGCTTCAGAGATCTTGAATCCCTTGCCGGTGCGCTTCTTGTGGATCTCGCTCGCCATCTTGGCGGACTGCACACGGGCTTCGATACTGCGGTCCGCCCGCCGCGAGGCGGCAATGTAAGCGCGCTCTTGGTTCTCTTCATGAGATCTCTCTGTCTACGTGTGAATGGTCAGCACATGGATCCGGTAGAATGGAAACTTTCTTATGGCAAGTCAAATAAACCACCGTGGCAGGCAATGTTGTACAAGTGTGGCAAATACAGCCAAGTTGGGAGGAAGACGTTCGTGGATAATTTGATAGTCAAGAAATGGGTACTAATGCGGGCAGGATGATTTGAATGGAATATCACGATTTGAACTGAATTTTCGTACCTTCTTCTGTGCCCGTTCAGTCTGCATCGTAGGCGACAGGTTGCTGGCGTCCAAGGAGCGCTTCGGCATTTTCGTTGACGTCGAGGATTCGGAGATCGACGAGTATTATAGATGGTTGAGTGGTAATGGTGTCAAAGGTGGCTTGGCCAGAGAGGTAGCTGATGCGGGGTGCAGGAATATATTGAAGCTTCTGTTCACTTGCGGTGATAGGCTTCGTTGTGGCTAGAACCTTGAAGCCGGAATCACCTGATATCGCGATGAGGTTGGTCGAAACCTAGTGTTTAACTTGGGAGTATGGAGACGTATGAGTCGTACGGGTTTATCGTGGTGTCCTAAGATGGTTGCGTTTTCTGAAGGAGCTCGTCGGTCGAGGGACCAAAAGGGTGTGTGGAAGTTGAGGAGGCAAAGTGTGGAACAGGGCGGTATCCAAGTCTTATACAATCCAAGGGTACGTGCTCGGGAGAAACGACTGGGTATCAGTCTCGAGGTGCGGAGCAGCGTGGAGAGGAAGAAAAAGGCTGTGAACTGGCTGGGCGTGCGGTGGAACAGAGGACAACCCGGAGCAATGTTCCATGCGAAAGCATGGGAGAGGGTTCAGTCTACCTACCTTGGGCGGGCGAGATGAGAGAAAGAGAGGGAGTGAGAGCGTGAGGAGGTACTGTTGGGGGTACATCTGATGCTGGGTTACGGAGTACTGGTTCGGGGATTGACCAGACAGATGGCGGCCGGATAGATGTGACCGGGGACATGGTACATGGGAAGGGGTTAGGTTCGTTGTTCTGTTTGGTCGACCTGATGCAGTTGCAGTGCGCGAGAGAGCGAGATGGGAGCTTGGCTAGGTACGCTAAGGATACATTGGGCACTGGGAAATGCGGTGTTGCTGGCTGTGCCGCAACTGGGGCAGTCCAGCACAATTGGCAGAAAAGAGACGGCGAGGGACGGCAGAGTGAGAGGGGAAAGGGAAAGTGGCATTTCGACTGCTTTCGATCGCTAGACGATCTTGGAGGGTTTGATCGGGTTACGCTCTGTTGATCGATCTCGATGAGAAGGGACTGTGTGCTAGGCCGACGCCCGTGGAGCAAAGTACCCCGGTAGTCACTCTTCACTCCATCGAATGGAAGGAAAGGGCTGCCCACTCTCTCTGCTTCTCCTTCTATTTCCCCCCTCTCTTCTGATCTCTGGACTGGCTGTCTCCTGCCGCCCGCCCTCGTACTCTACTTCTTTCAGATTAGCGCCGGGTCGTTTGGGAAGATGGCAACCACGGTTTGGTCGTCGTGGTTGTGTTGGCAGGGGCTGGGTTCACGGCTAAGGCAGTCGCCAGTGATAGGTAGGTAGGTATTGTAACTTTTTGGGAAGGCATACCTAGCTTTTCCCCGATGTCAACCATTCTTCCTCTTTTCGACTCTCTATCTGTCTTATCACCACAGTCTTTTATTTGTGATTACTACACCTCACAGATTTCTGTCCTCCCGTATGTTCTGTTGTTAGATACTTTCGCCAAGCTCAAGATCGCAGCGGGACGTGTACGACAGACAGAGAGGCAGGAGCACCAAATGTCTCGAGGGCCGCAGGGCAGGTGCAGATGCAGCAGCTGCTGCTGCATGGGGTGGAGCTTTGGCCTGAGTGGGGCGATCCCAAGCTCGGGCTCTCGCCTGTGCCACATCCCCACCCGAATGCACCCAAGTGCAACCGACAGGGCGGGATCAATCCCCGGGCCATATGCTCCAGGCCTTATCCCGGTCACGACCTGTGAGAGACTCAGAGACAGAGAGCTTCTTCCCAGTGGTCCAATATTCCACTGTCATTTTGGGCAGTTCCGCATCGATTCCTCTTGCTGCGTCGAAATAATGTCAATACACTCGCAGCTACGCAATAATCATCGAAACAAGTGGTAACTGTGACGACGCGCTAATTAGACTACTTACTCTCAGCACACAACTGATTCATAGTAACATAGTACATATTCGGGTATCCCATTTGTTTGTAAGCTGTTCGGAGTTGGTTTCGCGCAAAGAAGGTGCTTTACAGAGGGAGGCTGGAGCGTCCCTCCTCGAAACTCCGTCCTTTCCCTAAAAACCTATGATTCCATGCACCCTGCTCCTTCCTGTCTTCCCCTTGCCTACATTCGCCATTGCGGCAAGAGACATTGTGTACGTATCTCCACAGTATGCTTTCTTTTCCTTTCTGCCTTTTGCGAGGATTGTTTACAAGCGGGTAGTAAACGAGCAACCGCGTTGGCGGACAGAAAAAGAAGGTCGGGGGGTGGGTGCAAGTTTTTACACGGGAATTTGATAGGAGAGAACTATCTGCACTTCGTACGTTAGACACGAGAAGAGAATCGACAGGCAGGAGAACGGGGGGATTCAAGGTGGCCTGCTGCAACCATCACAGACTAACAACGACAACCTTGACAACCACACAACCACATCGACCGGCTTCATTTCGTCCCTCGATTTGTGCAATCTACCTGCAGATGTGCTGTTCCCCTCCGTGAGGTACCTACCTTCACTGTGGTGGGTGGCGGGCCCAGAGTATCGCTCGGGCGGAACCTTTGGGGTGCCAGTCGTACCAGCATCCCCAACTCGTCAAACTCTCTTGTCATGCTAAAGTCTAAAGACGCTTAGCAATGCTGCAGCCCGCTGCTGGCCATGTCCGACTGCATAGTGTCTTATTCAAGACATTGGATGTTGCCCATCGGCTGCATCTCTGCCCGGTATCTCTTAGGTCCATCCCAAGAGTTGGATCCCAACCATCTCTTGGGTGTCTCGACACGCTTCAGCCAATCCCATGTGAGTGATCCAGTTACTTTGAATGGCTCGCTCACTACCTACGGAGTGCGCGACTCCTATACGGCTACACTCTAACATATCACAGTTGTATGCCCGACATCTTTCTAATATGCGTGGGCGATTGCACCATGCCATACGGTGTAGCGCCTCTATGGCAAACTCCATTCCGCAAACATGCGTGAGCTTAAGACAAGAGAGGCAGGGACCGGTCAATGTTCCACGAGCCCTGCGGTGCCTTGCTCTGCATCCATGCATGTATTCGTACAGAGCACATTGCTTCGAGACACGGCACATCCACAACTTTGAACATTTCACTACCCCGCTGACAGGCCGCGTACTTCAACCCTTGACCTGAACAAATCTGTACGGAGCGGTTGGCTACGGAATTTTTGCCAGGAGTACACTCCGAGGCCTCACCGCCAATAAGCCCAATGCAGTTGAGACAAAACAGCTTCGCTACGAGGTGACAGCTTGCTGGACCTGTATCAGTATGACCATAGCCATCTCGAAACTACTCGTTCCTCGAGTCGTCCCAGTCGATTTTCCTCCCAATCTAATGGAGAGGTCGCTACCATTAGCCTTGTCATCAAGATGCAGCTGGCATGCCATGGAACCCAAATGCATCACCAATCAATCGAATAGTCTCGTCAAGTCTCTGTGGCTATGGCAATAGGCGTACTGCGTTTGGTGGCTCTGACGAAGCCGATGCCATCGACTGCACCAGAGTCTCAAACCGATTACATCCGATCTCACTACGGATAGGTTAACTTACTGATGCTTGGTTCGCAGTTCCCAATCCTGTCATCTGTGGCATGAGATACCTGGCTGTTGTGCTAGGGCTGTACCTTAGCGTTTGGTTGCTCCAGCGGTATAGCACCCCGCGCTATTGATCCGAATACCTCGACACTCGGTGCTAGAATCTCTCCGCGTCCGCAATTCGGAAAGAAGGGTGGGTCCGGTAGCATGGGGCGACTGGCGACAGCGACGATCGATCCCCAGGGTCCGATGCCGAGTGTTAGGGGCCCCTAGCAAGATGGCGATGAGAATTGACACGCTGCCATGCTTTGATACACCGATCGGAATATTCCAGCACCATTATTGCCTACCAACATCCAGTGGGCGGGTGCCTTCTTCAGAAACAACAGATTCGCGAGCGAGTAAGGGGCCAAGCCGTGCCGGCAATGCCAATTCATCCTTTGTTCATTAGTCGACAGTCCAGGAGGTCATCTTGCCTTGCAAGCGAATCCCGATACAGGACGAAATCACTTGCGATAAGGTCTTCTGCAAGAATTGCAGACTGTGCGATGGTTAAAACAGTATACCTTCTGACACATTCAACCAAGCCGGTGGGGGGATTATCGTCCTAATCTCCCAGCGCAATATCGGTTCACCTCGCGCTTCGCAGGTTTCGCAAGACCGACCCTTTACGGAAGATGTGCCACCAGGGTCACGCCAACAGACGGGACGGCTACCCCCAACTTACGCTCTGGGAACGTGGCATTTGCAGGTGCCTTGTTCGCAGGCGGTAATTGTGGCACAAAGCTGCGTTAAATCCGATCAGCCATGGCCCGCTCAGTCTAACTCGAGGAAGCCGTGATGCGCACGCAGATTCTTCGAGAGGGCCTAGACTCTCGTTGGCGGCAGCCAAAAGTTTGCCAATTACCTCCAGGCACAACATCAGCTTACCTTTTGACAAGTTCTCCGACTCTTGCTTCAGAAGTTCAAAGAGTGACAGCACTCATTTACGAGCCAAGGGTTAGAAGAAACCTACTTTTGCACATTCTAACCTTGGTTCGTGTCTCCTTCTGCTCGAACGGCATCACATGTTGGATAGAGCTTTGGGCATTAAATTATCTACAGCATACGCTTAGCAGAGTTGCACAACAAGCAAGGGCCAAATCAAGAGATCAACTGGACACAGGCCATGACCAGAGCGATAACACTCCAGTGGACAAGAGCCGCGAGTGAAATGTTCTTACCGTCTTACCGTCTTACCCCGCCGCCGCCGTGGCCAACGCGAGGGATGGTGGTGGTTGCTTCTCAAGAATTCGTCGTCACGGTTGTGTGGTTGTGCACAGCCCCTCGCGTACCAAATTGTTGGTTGTAACCTCAGCGGATGGCTTCCAGCTGGTTCGCCAGGTCAGACAAGCCTAACGACGCTGTTGATCGCGTCGAGTACGTAGGTATCAGTCTCGAGGGTGTACACGCTACCACGGCTACCAAGTACTAATCGTCCAATCTTGCGGGTGTCACTGAAGCCCAGGAGAATCCATTTTTGCCTAGTCCTCTGGAATTTCTTCCCGCCAGACTGAAGACGACGTGGTGAGTTGCTCCCAGAGATCTAAGAAATTGACGTCACCTCAAGATGGATCAGCTGCTTCAGACATTCAGTGGTTGATACTGGGCTGAGAAGAGCAGTTACGTTCCGTTTTTGGTGAATTCTGCTCGCCCGCGGGTTAGCTCTGGCTCAAGCGCTACGGTAAACGACAAAGTTGAGACTTGCCATTATTAAAACGACTGGCGTTGCTCGACGTTGAGACGGAGCAATCTGTCCGCGCGCCACTAGCTCACCCATATTCTTTGGTGTGTGAAACCGATACTTGGAGTTACAACAGGACCATGGCAGACCCCTCGAGCGGGACGAACCTCTCTGAGACCAATCAGCAGGCCACGGTCCACAGCCCGGTCCCGGCAACTCTGATGCTCTCCATTCTACATTCACGCCATAGAGTGGTGGTCTACAACCTATGGGAGCGGATATGTCGAGCACATTTCGACACCGGGTTTCTGGACCCCCAGGCAAGCCTGCCTACTGTGTACCTGCCGTACGGATGCCTACGCCTATCTTTGCTTTGATCAAGTTCGATGATCACATAATCAAAGGGACTGCGAAGA